TACAGGTATGCGTCGTGTGCACGTACAGCTGGACGTGTAAGGCCCTCGTCACACTCGGGTGACACGACACGATGCGATTATAAATAAATATCGTGCGATAATCGTTTGTTTTATAAAACACGGGTTAGTATATCGGACACCTCCCACCCACGCGATGCGACGTGACTGCGACGCGACACGAAAGCAACTAATCGTGAGCGATTGGTGCTGTCAGTCGCTTGATAAAAGTTTCCTAGTCAACCACATGACTTCATTAACATAATAAACAAATATATTATTTTAATAACATTAAATCTGTACTATATTTTACTTTATTACTCACTGTACTTTATTAGTAGGTATAACTACGTAATCATATCATTTGGCAAATATCACTATAGGGGCAACAAAAATTCGACAGTTAATATTATTTTGTATGTATGGATGTATCCAATATTTCCTTTTCTTTTTTCGGTGTCGATACCAATATGACACAATACAATATGATTGCTATTAACTACTGAGCAACTCTAGTTGCCAAAATATCGCCTATAGTGTGCAGAGCTAACTCTTGACGTCAGGTCGTACGATATTTTACTTGGCAACTATTTTCTTAAATCGCGCCAACGTCACGTTGCGTCGCGTCGCTATAGTGGGACGAGGGCCTTACACGGGCATTTAATCGCGTTGTAGCTTGTAAGTTGTGTTACGTGTTCGTGAACATAACTCTAAACCAATAAGGATCTTCCTTTTTTTTTTTTTTTTATTTTTTATTCGTAAAGCATTACTTCAAGGTTTGTGTAATTTTTCCTGAACAATTCTATCCGCCGGGATGGTTCAACGAAAAGCGCTGTATGATTTTACTTTTAATCTACTGTTTTGTAAAATTTTCAAAAAAATATCAACATCATGAAGTAAGAAAAAAAATGCAATCATCTGACTGCTAAATTGTTCAGAAAAAGCAGATTCTTTAAAATCACTTTTTTCGAATTGCACTAGAAATAAAAAAAATAAAAAGTAATAAAACGTCTGAAACGTTAGAATATTTAATTTTAATTTTATACAGCCGGACTAGAACCTCATTGATTGGTTCGGTTTCGGTTTCGGTTTGGTACTTTGAAGAAAAGTTATGGTTCGGTACGGTACTCTAAAATTATGCTTAGTCACACCACTCACCAGTCACTACTAACAAGGATTAGAGTCGTATAAACTATGGCAAGACAGAAACCTAATCCGCTACGATATAATATGATCCTACATACTTAATTATTTGTAATTTTCACATTGATTTCGTCATATGTAGTTTAACGAATATAACAGTGAATAACATAGCAATACATTTGAATTTGAAAATTCGGCAACTTTTGTTATAATGTTGGTTCTGATTTCTTAATAATTTAGTTACGGGTAACTGTGAACTTTCGGCTCTAAAATGTTTAAAAGAGTTTCTTTGAGATGTTGGTTCTAATAAATTCTAAGGGATCCGATTCCAAAACGGGTGTTTTACGGTATGATTCCAATTCTTCATAAATATGGTATCTTCTCAACGGAGGTCGACTCTCGCGTAATAGTGCATTCGAAAAAAGATTTGTTTCAACACATTATGTATTTATAATGATAACACGGAACTTATTTGTAATTCAATTTGGAATTTCAACGCGTTTTTTTTTTTCTTATATGGTACTTATGAACGGTTGTCATTTTTTTAGATAATTTTTGGTGATTTTAAATCACAAAACAAAAATATTGTGGGGAAAAAATATATACGAACGTACACCATTTGTTACTATTGTTGTATATTTACTTTGAACCGTGGGAATCAGTCACTAGGGAATTTCCACTTGTGTAAAATTGTTCGGACTAACACCGACCACGCCTGATCAAATAATCGTTAACTAATATTCACTATTACTGAGATGACGTCATTATTATACTTCGATATTGTTTGTAAAACATATTGTATTAAAATAATATTTCTCACGACTTGCGACTACAGAGTACATTTTTAAACGCACAAAACGCGCTTTCCAGATATTTTTGTAACGAAACCCAATGCACGAGTACATTTCGTAAATTACCAACGCGTATCGTTTTGTTCGTGAATATTTATAATATCAACAGTCCTGCTGCTGCAGACATTACAATACTTCGATGCGCGTCAATTGCAAATGCATTATTACTGTCCTCCGGGCGAATGCATTTACCCGATACAAAGGATAATCGTTCACGCGACGACCGACGTGCGACACGGGTCGTATACCAGCGCAGCCGCGTCAATGACGTTTCCCGAACGGGATTAGTGTTTTGTTGAACTCGCACTGGAATTCGATCGGTGTTCAACGCGCGTCGTGTTTCACACACTCGTTTCCAGTTTCGTTCTTATCGCAACGGCCCGCGTACCGTTAGATTGGATTGTTTTTCTCTTGTCCGCTCGACCTCACACATTCTCACCGTATTTGCTCTATCTCTCTCTCTCATTCTCTCTCTCATTCTCTCTCTCGCCATGGACAATTAACGAGATATCATTCCAACTCTCCCGTACGGATTTGTTCCGCTCGATGCGGTGACGAAAACGCAGAAAAAACACACATCGCACGAACGCACGTTGTGTGGGATTAACGATTAATTTTCTCGTTTCGCCGACATACGTATACCCGCGGGATCGTATTGTCGTCGCGAAGACGCGTTCAATGTTTTAAACGTTCTCGCGTTGCGTAAATGGTCTATACAAGTACGCGCATGTCCTTATCGGAGGACGAAACGTATTTTTTCCGAGAAAACTTTACACGGTAGTCGGCGGGGCCCACGCGTTTTTCGTAACGTTTTTCTGCAGAATTTATACGATCGACAAAGATTTTCCTTTTGTATAAAGTTGTGTGCCTACCACTTTCGTCCGTTGCGTTCGGTTTATGCGTTTAATGATTCTAATATCGTACTGTCCATCGCACTACAATTCAATAAGGTAAATATAAGTCTGAGCTATTGTAACCGATCGAAACGATTTTTATTCAACATAACCTCTTTGAGGATAGACACGCAAAATATTATTTTGACGTCTTTCCAATCGTTTACTTAAATATATATGTGTCGACGATTCGAAATTCTTTTACTCGAAAACTTTGCACCTCGAAGAAAACGCACGTACAATACGTGTGCTTAAAATGCTAACAGTTTTTTACCGAACACTTTGCCAGGTTATAATGGTTTAGCACACATCAACACCGGGTTGCATCTGTTGTTTGGAGATGAATTATTTGAAATTGAGTAGTGCGCTTCGACTTATCGAGTGTAGGCGATGTCTGTTTTCTTATTATTCTGAAATTTACGAATTAAAATTATATTTACAAAATTTATTTTTTATCACTTACGATGAATATGGTGATGTGACAATAAAAATGTTTGCGATGCCTTGAGAATATAAGTTTGGAACATTAAGTTAATCAATGCGCCCGCTCTTTTACTTTCAGTACATTAAAGTAGGTATATATAGTGTTATATAACTCGTAATGTTAAATGATTTCAATAGAGTTGGCAGCAGTATTAGTGTTCACTAAATAGTTATTGAAAACAGGTGTGACTAAACTTGACTCGCAGACGCAGCCAAGCTAAATAACCAGCATTACCTTAATGAGCCGATATTTTTTCAAAAAGTCGTATAACATGTAATTAAAAAAAAGAAAAATCAATCTTTATAGCATATTTCAACGCATACGTTAGTATTTAGTGCATAATTATTGCATACATTTTTTATAGTCTTTTATCGCATTCACAGTCGGTAGTCAAAATTAATTCTGCTTGTATTAGATTTTATTATTATTATTATACGGTCAAGCCCAATGGTAAATTTATAATTTAATTTAAACTAAACAATTAAAGAAGGAAGAAAAAATAAGTGAAAAACAGAGGAAAACGAAATTAAAAGTAATAGTATATAGTAAGATATAACATAATTAACTAAGACAAGAAGGAGGTTAGGTTAGATTAGGTTCAGGTTAGATTAGGTTAGATTTTCTTGAGTTATTATTAATTAATATATTTTTTTTTTTCAATACATCGATATAATTTTTTTCAATTTTATTTAAAAAATAGTTGATACAAAAAATGTAATATCAGTTTTATAAGTCTAATAATTAAAAAAATATTCTAGTTAAACTTTTTATTCAATGCCTGAAATTTACTATCGTATTTACTACATATTATAAGGTGTTAAAATGTAACGAACAAAAATCAAGAAATCGTTTAGACAAGGTTAGGGTCGCATATTCAAATTTGTACTTCGGAACAAGAGAAACATTCAATATGTGTGTATACTATACATAGATCGTATGAGATGGCGAACACAAATCGGCAATGAAAAACAGCGAAAACGTACAAGAACAGATATTTAATCGATTTCGGGTGTTTAATTAACATCGTAATACGGTGAATTTCTTGGGCAAATTTTATTTTTTCGCTGTTTTTTTCCTTAATCAACTGTGACGAGCTGCTGCGTGAGCGCGGCTGGCCACACAGGTCGTATGTAGTTAGCATCGAAACGAGATTTTCGTTGCGTAAGACGGTATAGTTTAATATCATCGTCTTTGCGGTACAACAGGCGAGTTCGTTTAAAACGTTTTTCAACGGATCCGCGTGCCAGGTATACGGTCTTCCGTGATCGTCGTACGGTCGTGGCGCACGCACTCGCGTCGCCGTTGTTTACGTATCGCGTTATCTTCGGTCTATCTTGTTTACAGTGCGCGACCGCCGGGACAGGGATTACGGGCCGCAACGGACGCGCGAACAGCGGCCGCACTTCGGCGGCGTGGACCGCACGCGCGCACCGTTCGGTCGGTAGTCACCCGTGGACCGCGGTCGGCACCGGTTCGTTTCTCGGCGTCCTCGATTAGCGCCGCTTTCGCCGTGGAAATTATCTCTCTAACCGTTTCGCCTCCACGCGCCCATTAGTTAACATCAACGTTGTCCGAACCGCGCGCAGTGTTCCGTAATCATCACGAGGAGATTTGATTGGTTTTGCTTTTCAGCCGGAGTACTACCGCGACAATTCGGAGTTCACGTGCGTTTCCGACGGACACCGTCATCAACTGAAAATCCCTCACGCCAAACTAACGCACACGGGGACGTACGCGCTACTGGCAGCGAACCCGCATGGACAGATCAAAGCGTTGATATCACTTCAAGTCTACTCGACGGGTAAGTGCGACTTCGTTCGCTCGATACGCGTTCCAGTCGCTTTTTCCCTCCCGTGCATCGTTTTACACACGTGACTAATACTGCACGTCTGCAGTGGTGCCGGGTCTAACAGGGTTGCGACGGACGCGAATCATTGCGAATCTCGAACCCAAGGTTTTTTCGGACCTCAGGTGGAGGCACTAGATTTCTATAGTGGAATGTAATAAATACATCATGATTATTGGCATATAATACGTAGAAATAATTTCACTGTCGAATGTCGAGTTAAGACTTAATGGATTGCACTGACGTTGAACAAAATTATAAAATTGTTCATTGGACATTCAAATTCATTAATATTAATATTTTATTTTGACATTTATCGAAGAAATATATTAAATTTATGTCAACTTTTTTTATTTATTTATTTCTTTTTCGAAGGGGGCTCCAATTAGTAGTTGTACTATAGCCTCTCAAGACTTAAATCCGGTACTAGTATTTAGTGTTTGTACATTCACCCGATGATACGTGTACGAGGAATATTCGTGTACGCAATGACGCTCGTAATAATATTACTATATTATAGTCGTTTTCGTCCATATTATAAAACATTGTACTCTGTAATTAGTAAAACAATCTCGACTCATCGTACTCGTACGCGTGTTGTGGTAACGAGACAAATAATCACGTATGTACGTCACTGGTGTGGGGAACCTGCAAGTACACGAGACATGTGATAAGAATATTATATTCTTATTGTACAGTCATATGTAAAAAAAACAAAAGTGAACTACTCTCGCGCGTACACACTATTCTGTATTCAATATTGTGGTGTGCAAAACATTATTATTATCATAAAGATACGATTAGTTTTTATATAATTTATTCTTTTTCATTTAGGACATTGCAAGAAAAAAATGGAAAATGGTATCAATCGCACGTAAGGAAAACGTTTTTCTAGTAAAAATTATCGTTTTAAAATAACGTGTTTATTTCGATTTAGGACCGTTGAAAGGTTACCGAGAATAAGTCGAGGATTGTTTGACGTAGAATGCCACGAGAACGATTGCGTGGCATTTGAGTGCAAGCTGAACATCACACAGGAGACGGACGTTAGATGGCAAAAGGATGGCAAGGTATTCGTGTGTTTTTTAAATCACTTGGGTTGTTTATTATATCATATTCGAAGAGTAAATTTCATTTTAATAATACGGTTTCATTTCTGTGCAGCTGGTGAGATTGGGCAAAGATATCAAGTCTGAACTGATTGGTGGCGATACAGCTCGTCTCGAGATATCATCAGTAAGCCCCTTGCACAAAGGGCTTTACACGTGTACCGCGTTCAATGAACTAGGTCAAGACTCGACATCTGCACGACTGATATTATTGGGTAAACAAATAATAGTTTTAATTGAGAATTATTTTGTGTCGTCGCGGTATATTCATAACAGCGTACATCGCCGTTTGATTGTAAACAGATTCGGCCCAAGACGTCACCACCAAATTAACGGCTTCGTCAAACGGACAGAGAAAAACCATACCAAGTTCACTAAAACTGGCAGGTAATATAATACATATAAAAAAAACTAATTATTTCTATTTAAACGTTTTGAATTATCTACATAAAAGTCCCTTTTTGCTCCAATCAACCGAGAAGAGGTTGAGGTGCATACTTTGGTAACTACAATGTGTTCGATAAAATTCGGTCTGTAAGAGTAAGAAGGGCGGTTTATTACCGTACAAAATCTTAATCGCGTAACCGAACGACTGACTCGCAGATTTTGGTAATGAAACTACAAATGTTTGTGAAAAGAGGAATGTAATAATTGTCTAATTTGTTAACGATGATTTAATAGTAGAGGAGACTAACCTTACATAATATACTTTATACCGTGAGTTACTACTCAATGTTGTATATGATCGTATTACTACACACTGGTTATGCCACGTGATCGCGCAGGTGAATCAAATGATCGGAGTTCTAAAAGATTGAAACGGAGCAGCGCGCCAAAATTCTACGCAGTCCTCCACGACAAGATTGCGGATGTAGGCGAGACGGTCCGGTTCCAGTGCAGCGTGTCGGGTCATCCTCCACCTTGGTCGTCGTGGGAAAAAGACGGTCGGCCAATAGGCATCAACAGTAGAATGAAAATACGCGAAGATGATGATCACCGGTCGTTGGAGATATGCGACATCACTGCCGACGACGCCGGTCTATACCGGATAACGGTGGAAAATAAATTCGGAAAAATCCTAGCTACGGCCAGACTCGAAGTGATGAGTGAGTATATCGTAGCGCAATAAATTAATATAGTTAAACAATAATCTAACAGAATAAATATAGCTGAATTGTTTCATTTTTTTTTTTTTTTTCTGTAGTTATAAAATATTATTTGATGAGGGGTTATTAGAAATTTTATAGTACAACATGACTAATATAACATAGTGACCGTTAGATGAGAAATCGTTTGATTTTTCTCAGTAAATTAGTCATGCCATTAATTTTATTACATATTTAGATATAAGTTACGCTATTGTTCGTGTGCGCGGATACCGGTAATATTCCCTAAAATGGGTGAGTGTAGACAAGAAGTATCTGCACTTGATTGTTTACATTTACTAGTTTTGAACACATTTCATCCGACCGCTGTCATCAGTTAGGATGGCTCGTCTGTGTAATATTATAAAATCAATGGACATACTTTAAGATGAATCGCAGCTTTTATATTTGTCTTCTTATTGTCTTTAATGTGTTTATTTTAATTTTTTATTCCCGGAGACCTTTTTTCAGTAAAACGCAAACATGCTTGTATTAGACACGCTGTAATAGCACGATTATGTCCAGTTGCATTTATTTCATTCTGATCACATGTAATAGATGTTTACAATACATGTTTAATAATAATACATGTTTACAAGATGTGACCATCGAATACGGGAATCTCATAATTGTGTTGTACACAACTGCAGGTATTCAATGATAAAAACTTATCGAAATGTGAATTAAAAAAAAAAAAAAAAAAAAATGGACGAAGACCGCGGTCATTGAGTGTGACTAAGCATTTGATAACAACCCCGCTGGGATATGTCCTTATTGATGTACGATTAGAGATTAAAATGTTTATTGTCTGTAACGGTTTTTTTTTTCAACACATCAATATCATTCATGTTATTTTTCTCGTTATGGTATTGGTGACGATTAAAAAGGTAATATTTTCGTTCTATGTCATATCCACAACGCGTGCGCAGCCCATCACCAAACTAATGACGTCCAAATCACTTCATCGACTAACGGTAGGAGACAATCCGGGTCGACGGCTTGTGCGGGGGAAAATTATACGCTCAGCTGTGATATACGGGGAAACTCGATGTCGGACGTGACCTGGTATAAGTGAGTACTAATATACTCTTTGCTACTACGATATCTACACAGGTATACACATTCATGAGTCACACGTGTATTCATTTTGACTGTTGCATAATAATGCAAATCATCACGTGTATACTCGTACACACTCTGTTTGAAATTGATTTGCAAATCAAAAATTTATTTTTTGTCGTGTCATGTTATTTCGTTATCATTTCAATCATTTAAAATAACGTGTTTGTAAACATGCAGAGACGACAACGAAGTCAAACCCGACGATAGGGTGACTTTAAACCGGGATGACCTCGCGTCCAGACTTTCGATATCAAACTTGGAGTCGGCGGACACAGGCGTGTACACGTGCATAGCAAGGTGCGAATCAGGTGTCACCAGGTGCTCAACGGAACTGTGTGTGTTTGACACGAAACTGGCGAAAGACTCTTACCTGCAACCTCCGATATTCGTCGAGGGTCTTGTTCCTATGTGCACCGTCGGGGAAGGAGAACGGGTCGAGTTGACCGTAAAACTTCAAGGTAAATGCTGTTATGTTTCGACTACCACCTATCGTACCTTTGCCACGCATATTATTTTGTGAACCTTTAACGCACAGCGCGCAGATGTTATTATTATTGTTATTGTTTCTTATTTGCATTATACGTGGCACAAATCGATAAGATATAATATAGATGTTCGCAGAAAACATATTTTCGTTTTTCTGTTCGATACCGAGCAGAGTGAAAGCGTACCGTAAACATTTTTTATCAGATCTGAGATCAGTCATAAAGACGGTTATTTTTCGTCTGAAGTTTCTTCCAACAGAAGTAAAATCAAAAATATTTGCCGTGAAAATGATTTATTTATTTTTTTAACCATCACGTTTTGTAAATGCACACTATTTCGGTAGTACGACTATAGTTTTGCTCTATTATATTTACTATATTATTTCCTAGACATAAGACGAGGTTTTTACCCAGTTTTGTGGCAAGTTTTAAATCAGTCATAGATAACCAATACATACATTTGCATCATTAATCAGTACACAAATATGAAATGTCATAGTTAATTCTTAAATTAAACGTCTATCACCACATCCAGATCAAAATAAAAATGAACTATTATCAATACGTATTCTAGTGACAATAATGCTGTATTATTATGGTTGATAACATCGGTATTTCTACAACTATATGTTGTCGTTCATCCCGGCTGCATGGTATAAACCTAGGAATGTTTTAAACTACAGTTAACATGTGGTCGAATACGTCGATATTGTTATCGGCTAACTACTAAACACGTTACATTGAACAGTAGGACGCCGTTCAATTGATGAAATCATTATATGATGATATATCGATGTTTAATTTTTAACCTCCGTGCAGTAGGCTAGTTGAATTTTCCGGTCGTAAACCCGTTTTTCGAGTGTGTGATGTCATAGATTTCGAGTTCACAACAGACACATACCATCTGAGTACTGCTCACCACCCGCTAACATATTCCAATCGTTTTACAGGTGCAGTTCCTATGAGCGCTACGTGGTTCAAAGACGACGTACCCGTGCCAGACTGCGAGGACTTCGCATACACGGTGGGCGAAAACGGCACATTCACCTTGTCCATAGTTGATCCTTTTAGCGCGGACAGTGGAAATTACAGTTGCAAGGTAGTGAACACGTTCGGCGAAGCCGTATCTCATGGTCAGCTGGTGATAAAAGGTTCGTACCAAGCCTAACACTTTCCAATTTCGTAGCCAAATCGGCTCGTATATCGAATATATTATATTGAGCGGCGGGGGAGATAGAGTTCACGATGTCAACGTGGTAAATTTCCATCTTATCTTATTGGTAACTTATAATCCGAACAATATTAAGTATATCGTATGTGTCATCTTCGCCCGTCATTTGGACTACCATTATTCAACGTCGTGATCCCATAATCAGAAGTATATACTTAATTTACTATGTTTTACATTCTACGAGATTAGCCAACCCTTGAAGTTCCGCTACGGCTATAAATATTGATCAGGGCACGTTAGAGTATCTAATGCAGAAATAGCCCAGCCAGCTATATCGCGGGAATTCCATTAGATAACTCTATACTGCGATCGTTCGCTATTCTTAACGAGTGTCGAATAGATCCGTTACATTTGGTGGTATAATGATTTTTTTTTATACTAAATTCGTATTATGATTGTTGCATACACCCAGAAAAACTAGTAAATTTGCGAAAATAGTAGTTTTCATAAAATTTTAATTACATAAAGAATTCGAACACTATTATGAATTATGATCAAATTATACCTTTTTCGAAATTGAAAATTTATTTGAATATAACTACTATACTGCCTTCAATTTTAATTTCAATCGACCATTATTTTATTAATATTTATAATATAACTGGTTGTTGGTCTAGAATTTTGAGCTAAATCACAATTTAGAAAATATTTATTCAAAATTCGCATAAAAATCGTATGCATGCAGAAATCGAGAGCGATCATCTTGTGAAATCAGTGGTCCTACAAAATTCTGACGTGGTTCTGACTGAGTTGAACAACAATTCAAAAGTTAGTGGAAAGGACGCACGCGATATCATCCCTCAAAACAAGGAGTCGACTGCTGAGACCGTTACTGGCCTACTTCCAGCAACTATACTCTGGGGTCCCTGCGACACGACCGTACTTCGAGGTGCCAAAGTAGTTTTGGAAACATCGTATGCCGGAAAGCCGGAACCTCGCATCCAGTGGTTAAGAGCTGTGAGTCGAATTTCAAAGCTGATACGCGAATAAATAAATTAAAAAAAAAAAAAAAAAAATGATCTAATTATTATCGTTTTCTTTTTTGTGCCAGGGCAAAGTATTAGCGGAGACCGACGAGCGGTTGCGTATAACCAACGCAGACGGCATATCCAGTTTAACGATCGACTCGATCACGGCAGACGATTGTGGCAAGTACATTGTCCGCGTCGACAACGGACTCGGAAACGATTATCACTTCGCTTCGGTTGCCGTCGAAGGTACGCCAGCAATTTGCGGCAATTTTTATTTTTATAATTTGTTATTATTATTTCTACTCTCCTAGTGTACGCGTATAAGCGGTGCTACATTTATAATCTGTGCGAAGTAAAACAGACGTAAAATAAAATAAAAAAAAAAAAAAACATCGAGCTGTCGCACGCGTAAACAGCAATAATTATTATATATAGGTATAAAAGCAAAGCTGGTACGCGCAACGGTTTAAACCACTCGGACAGTATGATATGACTAAATAAAGCGATCACGTCGCGTGGCCTTAGTGTTCCATTAAATGAAACTGATGAGACGCGTAAGCACTGCACATATATATATATATATATATATCACGATTTGTTCCACACGCAATACATTTAAAATTCTTATAAAATATTATATATTGTTGTACTAAATGATTTGGTTAAAAAAAAAAAAAAAAAAATCGAAAAATCTTAAGCTCTTAATAATATTGAGATCACATCATATTTAAACCGCAAGTATACATGTATCTGTTAAGTAGAAATCCGTATTACTCGTGATATTAAAAATAAAAGTACACGGATCTTATTGAAACGGTATTAAATCAGAGTTATGTTATTGAACGGATACCCATGCGTCCCCTTTTACTAGAAATATATATTTTTCCTACTTTTATTTTATAATTTTCGTTTGGGCGGGAGGGCCGATTTTTTTTTTTTTTTTTTAAAACATTCATGGTTCATTAATTATACTATGAACCTCTGAACTTTCGAATACACTTGTATCATATAATATCTGGGTATTTTTTATCACACAGATTCCTTGTAATTTTATAATCATTAATATACGGACCGAACCGCGAGCGCCAGTTTCAATGCTGATTTAGTGTTTTTAACTATCGCGGTCGTATATAATGCACAAAGTTGTCCGTGCGTTGAGATGCAATGCACTTGACTAGAGAGCAGCTAATTGAAGAGCAATGATGAACTATTAAGTACAGCGCTTTGATCGTTGTAACTCAACCATCGTTTGCACGTTACAAGCAAAAAGCCATTTGCTTTGTTCACCGTGCGAGTGATCGGTGCGTTTAGACTTTTCGAACACTTTATATCGCGTGTTACGACACGTAACGAGAGGGGCAGAAGATCGCGGCCATATGTGCATTACGCGTAATTACGATAAAAATTATAATAGGTATATCCGTGTGGCGGTCGATGAACGATATTATAATATATTTTTACAGATTATGTTAGTTTATAATACTTGTACCAGTTGTTATACTGTTATGCGCTTAACTGTTATTGATTTTACGTCGCACTGGTTAATTTTTTTCCTCCGTCGGCATGTGTCAACCACATAATTATCGGGTCCTTGTGCACGCACTACGCGTACGCATTTCGCGCACTAAAATCAACCGCGCATTTAACTGTATTATAACACGACAACGCAGCTGATACGGCAATAAGTGTGCAACGCGACCGTGTACGTCGTGAACAGATGTAAACTGTTCGTGAGACGACGGTGTCTGAACGGTTTCGAGTCGGAGCGCGCGTGTTATAACACCGAGTTGTTGTAAATCAAATGGCACCGGATGGGTCGACGCGAGTTCATCGCTGTTCGTCTCGATTTTCCGTCAAGTACTCGGATTTTAAAACACACGCACGAGCAGAGATTGCGAGAAAAACATTCGGGTTAAAATAAACTTTTTTTTTATAATTTTCTATTATTCACGATTCATCGTAAGATGATAGGATGATGCAAAACGAATGTATCGTAGGCTATCGGAACGTGAAATAATAACTATGTCATGACGAAACCGACAAATTTTCGTTACGTTTGAAAATACGAATCCCGTTCAAAGGCAAATACATAATTAATTACAATTATGATAATGCATATATCTCGACATTAACAACGATAACCGGTACAATCGTAATAAGATTCGATACCGTAGTCGTTAGTGATTTAAGTTGAACCAGTGCTTGACTTGCCGGGGGACGGAGTACCACAACTGATTTTCAGAAATTTTAGCGTCCCCCTACTTTTAATACGTTATAACGCTTAACAAGTCTTTGGGACGCTATTTTCTTCAAAGAAAACAGAGTCCCCCTCCTATAATTTTGCCAAGTCGAGCACTGGATTTAACTGCATACCGTGTACGTTGTGCGCAGGACCTCCAGACCCACCAGCCGGCAGACCCTCGGTGTCCGTGTCCGAAACCAGTGCGGACGTGACGTGGCCCAGTCCGGCGTACGACGGCGGTTGCATGGTTACTGGTTACAGCGTGGAAGTACGACCGTTCAACCAGACCGATTGGAAGCTCGTGGCCGACAAGTAAGTGATGCATTTCTCGCATAGTTCCTATTATTATTATTATTTTTCCTCACCACCACCGCCACCGCGGCCGTGCCGATATGTGATCCGCGTAATTGATATAAAATGTATGCCACGTATTCAATTATGCTTAGGACCTACGATAATACGGTGAAAAAATAATAACGACGGCAATAAACACTTTACACACGCGTCATAACAGAAAATAATATGTCACATATTATATGTGTATCGTACGCGACTTGGATGGCTATTGTCACATTACCCCGTCGCTGTGCACTGGACTTTTTTCAAGTGTATGCGTATAATTATTACGATTAAGTACATTGTTCGCGTTTGTCCAGTCCACCCCCGTCAAAATCATCAAGCCCATAAGCGTGGAGCACTTTCTAGAGTGTTGGGAATTCTTATGGCGAAAAAAAAACATATATAATATTATCGATATTAACGATCGTATTAATGTAACGTATTATATATATTCGTGCAGGCCTGGATTAACACTGTCGTAGGCCCTAGGCCCCTAGTCCTTGCAAGGCCGTTGTCCAGTATTTAAATGGTTAAGAAATCTTCTCTTTGGGAGATGAAATAATATTTACAACATAAAAATCAAATCTAAACCTTTATATGATAACTATTATACATTTTTATACGATAAAAGTTTTAACAAATGTTAAAAAAATTTATTTTAATCAAAAACATACCTATATAATATAAATTGTCAAAAACCATAAAACAAATTTTTATACCAATTTACATACTATAAAAAAAATCGTAACCACACATTTTCGTAAGCCCTAGGCACAGTGCCTATAATGCCTATGCGCTAATACGGCCCTGTACTCATATATATATTATCTTATCCTAATACCACCAATGACTGACGCGCGTCCGTGTTTGTACTAACTCCGCAATAATGATATTAACTATGATACTTCTCAAGTCGAATTATGATAGAATATGTGACGTACGTGCGTGCAGGTTGCGCTTTCAAGTAACGAAAGCAAAAAATATTAGAAAATCGACGTGCGTGCGATATAATCGTTGCAATAATAGAACTATTATGATTCGTATAAAAATGTATACGATTTAATTTTTTACTGCCCATTATGTCATTTTTTTTTCGGCCCGTGGTGAAAGCAAATAACCAAAAAAAAAAAAAAAATGTTTTTCCATTGTGTTTGAGCGCGTCTACGCTTTCACTGGGATTTTCCTAGGCAACCAAATCATAATGATCGACAAGCCCCTACACACATGCCAACGCATTTTTTGGGTAAAAAGTATATTTAGTTCTACGCTACCACTGATGAATGAAACAATTTTACTAACATATCGAAAACGAGTTTTTATTTAATTTTAACTACACTTATAAGCAGTATATTTTATTGCGTTCAAATAATTAGAACTAGAATCGAAAATCGTTGGTGCATTTTTAATCGATATCAGAGTTATTATCATTTACTCATTTCAAAATTACTTTTTGTTTGTCGTGTACTGAATATACACATTGTAGGTAAATATTATTTTATAATATTATCGTAATTTAATATAAGTTGATTCGTTTGTTTTAGAAAAAAGTGTTCATGAATTCAAAACTTAAATTCAAATTAGTTGATATTTCATTTATTTCATTTGCCGTGCATTTTCTATTAGCAAAGATATTACAGATATTAAAAAAGACCAAACTTGAAATCATTAACTTTTCAATTATTTAAAAATTCGCTAATATAATTTTGAATTTCAGTTGTTATTTTCCAATTATTCCAATCATAAAACTTATTTTTAAACATTATCGAAAAAAACTCTATGTGAAAATAAATCCTTTCAATCGTTTGATTTTTGTAGTCATTATTTTTACCAATAATAGGGCATTGTACGAGTACTGAGTAATACATATATTTATTTTGCATCTTGAGACTTGTTTTTTTTTTTCTCTTCTCATCGGTCGACTTACTAATCACACAAGAGAACATCGTTACAGATAAAAACACAACCCAATAATAATATGTAATATAGGTACGCCGGTCGCGGCAGCACTGTTAGAACTGTAACCTAATAATATTGAGCGATTGTGGCGTTTATCTTATTCTGCAGGTGTCACTCGTTATCACACATTGTCCGAGGTCTGGCGCCCGGCGAATCGTACGTCTTCAGAGTCCGAGCGGAGAACATGCACGGATCGAGCGAAGCAAGTTTGGAGTCCATACCGGTGTACATACTGCAAACAGGTAACAAAACGCGCTACGGCGGCTAACTATAATTAATAATCACCATCGCGTATTACCGTTATAGGTTTCGAATGCCTAATGTGCAGTCGAGACTTTTGTCAGACACTGTTTAAGCAGTGTAGTGAATATGAAAATATTCTTACGGGCCAGGGGACGGGAACGCAATGGTCGGTATGACGGTTGGGCTAGGTCAATTTAGCATTGAGAACGTGTTATTGTCATATTTTAAGAGATCCTTTCTTTCAATTAAAATCAATTGTATATTATACTATAAATGTTATACACCTATATGATATTAAACGTTCCATAATTGTTACCGCATTTGACTTTTGTCACCCATACCCGCTCAATCACTTGCAGGTTTTAAACTCGATCGTACTTTTGCTATTTATTGTTATACGTGTATTTCTACGATAATTCGATTTTACTTCTTGGTGAAAACGCCGGTCTCTGCCGAGTTTTGACTATTTTCGTCCCGCGTGTCCGTCACTTACGTAATGTAAATATTATTATTATTATTTTACTGCAAACATTGATTGTACGAAAAATCGCTGCGAACGTTTGCTACACTTGTTGTCAGTAGGCTCGTAGGTAACGCCACGATAACAAATTTACATGATGAATGCGACGTGTGTTGTAAATATTCATATGTCTAGCACGAGGAGTGGGCGAGAAATAAAAGAGGTTCTATGCATCGGGTTCATAATATTATCATGTACGATGTTTAATCAACATTCGAAAACAACAAATAGTCGTTTATAAATCACTGTTAATCCACTAACTTTATATATATAATACATGTATTTATCAGTTAATTAAGCAGCTAGAAATTGTAGTGATAAAATGCGAATTCATATTATATATAAATATATTATATTTATTAATATTGTATTAGCCGCTTTTTTTTACTAATATAATATAAAAATTGTATCCAAATATTTCTAAAGGCGATGTACATTTTGATTAGGTTGAAACTTTTTTTTTTTTATTAATAGTATATAAACAAAACGGATATGAAAGTATATTGTGTTTTATACCCGTGGAGGTGATAAACAAATGCGCGTGTATTTATAAAAAAAATTTATACTTTTTAAATAAATTACTTTTATCGTACGTCAGATATTTAATTAGTCTATGGTTGAATTAGTAATAACAATAACGTATAAAATTGAATAACAATGAAAATATCAAAAGTCGTATGAAAATAAAACTCATAAAACTATTCTAAATAATTGATGTGCATGTATTTTCTAAAAACTCTATTAAAAGGTTTAAAAAATTATTTTCACAAATCAAAATTTATGTAGTCGTTATTATATTTTAGTAATAATTATATACAAACATTTAATAAGTACTGTTGGTTTTTTTAAGTGTATTATGAATATTTTTATATTCTAAATAATTATTTAAAATATATTTTGGCTATTAAAAATTTAAACCAAACTTATTTTCATAATTATCAACGTAGTAATGTTGTAAAATTTCAGTGGGAATACAAATTTAACGAGAATAAAAGTTGTTTAAAAAACAGGTTATAAAAAACTCACTATAATTTAACTACATATACTTATAGCAAACGATATATATGAACATATATTTAGACTGATGCAAAATCGAAAATCTGCAAGTTTATTTTTTTCATATTGCATTTTACTCGAACGAATATAAAATTTACGTACAATGATCGCCTTTCATATGCAAATTTTTATAATATTATATTGACTTACGTATACGTGCGTATATTTCGCGAATACTGTTTTAGACTACGGAAACACACTGGTACCGAAAAAAGTGAACATAGAGAACGGTGAACTTTTCACTAAGCAATACGAAGTGTTGGACGAGCTCGGTAAAGGCAGATACGGCGTGGTGCGCAAAGTGAAAGAACGCGAGTCCGGCAAATATTACGCGGCCAAGTTTGTCCGGTGCATCAAGTCTAAAGACAAGGAGAAAGCGCAAGAGGAGGTGGATATAATGAATTGTCTGAGACACCCGAAACTCTTACAGCTCGACGCGGCTTACGAGAACCCCAGGGAAGTGGTCATGGTCACTGAATAGTAAGTATTGTTCGACGGATTCATTGATTAATTGGCCTTGGTAACGATAAGCGATACCAAATAATAGTAATAATGGTGATAATGGTGCTTTTAAGTATCACGGACGTCATTTTACATATTATGTAATGCCCTGTATACACGCAGAATTCAAGAACCCTTAGGTATGTTGAATGTTTTGTGTGCAAAAATACGATCACTGTTTTCTAAAACATTGGTTTTCTCATTACAATTTTAAGTCACCGCACTAATCTTACCACAAAAAATTTATGTTTGCGGAAGTGAATCTCAAAAATCATAAAAAATGTTATTAATTTCTAATAGCAAATATCGATATTTGGAAGGAACGGTTATCATATAAAAAACATATTATTTTTGATTGAAAAATTTCAGCATTATCATAATAATTATGCAAAATCGATAAGAATGATGGGGAGTTTTTTTTTATTTTAAAAAAAAACTACAAATTGATCTACATTATTTTAATATATCATTGTGGCTTTATAAACATGCTGTTCTACTTTAAATATTTTGTGCGATCATTGTGTGTATCGCTTAAAACTAGAAAGATACTACATAACACACATATTTTACACAAACCTGTGTGTTTTTTAGATGAACGCTATAATTCATAATAGTAATTGACATTCACATTATAACCGCTATTCTATCTTTACCATTTCTTTTAGATATATTTTATTATATTAAAGGTTAACATGATTATTAGTTGCTATTGAGTACCACAGTGGATTGTAAAATCGTGTGCGTACAACAGGTATATGTATACAATATGCTGTTCTCTCGGTCGGCCATTGATAAAATTATCAGTTTTGCAGTAGTGTACAGGCACATATTACTATTATTCGATATCAGTCTTTTGATTGATGTATACACAAAGTTTAATTTTTATGTTAAAAATTGAATCATATTTTTCAGCATTTCCGGCGGCGAACTGTTTGAGAGAGTGGTGGCTGACGATTTCACACTCACCGAAAAAGACTGTATTTTGTTCACCAGACAGATATGTGAAGGAGTTGACTACATGCACAAACAAAACGTCGTGCATTTAGACTTAAAGGTTAGATTTAAATATAAAAATGTCGCGATCGGCGTCACCTCGTTAATTCGCATGCGACTTACATAAATTGTGGAATTACTGGTACACACGAATTGCTTCCCAAATTCGGTTTAATTATTTTTTGTCACCCAAATTTCCTGCGGGTATTTCAGAGGAAATCTGAGTAACCCTATGTTACTATACTCCGCCGTAACAATCGATATTTCGATAATTATTGTTATTGGAGTGATTGTGAATGTATTGCAACAAAACTTGTTATAAATTATAAATTTTAAACTTGTGATATAAAACAAGTTAAATGTGTGGCTGGTTGTGAGTATAATAATAATTTAACAGTCTGTACGAAAACGATAGTGAATATATAAACTTGAATAAATTAAAGTGTTACATTTTTATACCTACTGCTCTCCAATATTAGTTTTATCATTGATTTTACTTAGGTATATAATAGACAGAAATCACACGGTATAGGAATTTTCGGATACTAAAATAACGTTTATACAGGCTTACGATAGATAGCGTTGCATGATTGAACAAATAATTGTTTCTATTTAAATGCGGGTGTCATCCACATACGTACGAAACAACTAGATAGCCTTCCTATACAACATTACGGGAAGACGTAAAACATGGCTGCCGTATGCAAAGCTGGCAATATTTACAAATTTTATAATGATAACGTACATTGACAATGTGAATACGTAATATTAAATTTATAAATTAATAAATAACAATTTTATATATGAGATGAGTTATTAGATAAGTAAGATAAGAAGCAAATAGTGAATACTTAAAAACAAATGTCAAATACTAAGTTTTTATTGAGTACAATAAAAACGATGTTATTAAAACTTACAAAGTGCACATTTATAGCATTTGTATTATAAAACTTTGCAAACAATTTTTTATAGTAAATGGATATTTAATGGAATTATATAACTGCCATTATGTGTTAGAGTTAGGACCGTTAGTCACATTTAATGTGCACTGAAAATGATGGTTTCACAATATCACGATCACAAGTAAAGACTAAAGGCTTATGAAATTTTTAAATGCTTGTGTTATTTAAGAATTATGATTTATGATATGAATATTTTCTGTGATAAAGTTAATAATGTAAACATTACCAGCTTCGCAAATAGCGGTTTTTCTTCAATGGTAATATTGAGTGGACTATCTAGTTGTTTTATATATCTGTGGATGACAACACAAATGATTATTCTTAATTAACATAATTACAGATACGTGTTGTTAGCGTAAAGGTTATTGTATAAATTGATAGTTTATATCGATTGTATTGATTCAATTAATGAGAAATTTCAAATAGGAAGCAATTCGTGTAATTATTTTTTATTAAAAAAATGTATGAGAAACAATTCGAGGGATTTATGGGATACATTTTGGGTTTCCCCGGAATAATAGTGACAAAATTAAAATATGAAAACGATTATTTATTTATCCTACCAATGGACGATAGAAGTGAATGCCTTTTCTCGTCTTCTTAGAATGTTTAATAGTTTGTTCTCAATAGAGAAACGTAAATGCATAATTTAAATCGAATATTAAACGTGTAACATAATACGAAATATAGCGATATGATCAGTTAAATATTCAATAACAGCTCAGAATTACGATTAATTTTATGGACAGCCGGAAAACATAATGTGCCAGTCACGAACTTCGCATCAGATCAAGCTCATCGACTTTGGGCTTGCACAGAAAATTGTTCCAGGAAAGCCAATCCGGGTGCTGTTCGGTACGCCGGAATTCATACCACCGGAGATCATCAGCTACGAACCGATCGGAGTGGAGTCGGACATGTGGTCTGTGGGAGTGATTTGCTATGTGCTGTAAGAACCGTTTCCCGTATTTTATCTTCAGTTGTTTTTTCCTGTGTATTAAAGTCGATTTTTCGTTTTTATTTCACTTTTCAGGCTCTCTGGTCTATCACCATTCATGGGTGACAACGATCCCGAAACGTTCAACAACATAACAAAAGCCGAGTTCGATTTCGACGATGAATCGTTTGACGCCATTTCTCAAGACTCTAAGGACTTCATAAGTGCGCTGTTGATCAAAAAAAAAGAGTAAGACGAATTTTTATTTTGTTTCTTATATTATTTATGCACTCAAGAGATACGGCAAGTAGATGCGTAAGCCTTGGGAGTAAGAGCAATTTTTTTTCATTAGAAATCCAGTGCCCACTTAATTTTTTATTTTCGTGTTTTCGGCGGCAGTAGCATGTTTGAAGTGCTTAAATTACTAATCTTATATCGACGTTTCTAGGAAAAGACTTACCGCCAGAGAGTGTCTGAAACACAAATGGCTGGCGCAACAAGACATGGATATGAGTTGCGTGATTTTGAGCACGGACAAACTTAAGAAATTCATCATCCGACGGAAATGGCAGGTTGGTACAGCATAGTTATAATGTTGAACCCGGTCTGTTCACGCCGAGAGAATAGGAGTGCAGTGTGCCCTATAAAACGAATTTGGACTGGGTTCTCCACCACAAAAGTGTCTCATGCAGCACAATTGCTTTATCAGCGGGAAACTATTTGCATTCAAATTCTCTCGGTGAACAGAATTTTAGTCGTGTAGTATAGCGACAATAATATATGCTCTCATTTGTGGTGAACAAATAACGAGTCGTGCTGTGATTTTCATTGTGAGTTTAGAGTAATGTGACTATAATAACAAGTTTTCTAGTTATTATTGAAACAATTTAATTAATCGATTAAACAGAATTTTCATTTTAAGTTTTTTAACACTCACAATTAAATGTAGTACAAATTTTAAACGTGACGTTAGGTTTTCTACGAATCATCAGGATTTACATGTGTATCTGTTTTCAAACCCCTTAATTTAAATTGTCGAGTTTTATATTAATTCATAACGTCTTTTTTATTTATTATCCAATACCTGTCTGATTAAGATATTTTTGTAAGCTCCTGAGAACATTTATTCGTCTAAATCAATTTTTTATATTGATAATTTCAAAACCGATCGAATTAACCAGAAAATAATATAATTATGCTTGTTAAATCTAATACAATAGTATCATTAAAATGATTACACATAAAAAAAAAACATTAATATTAGGAGAAATATATAGGCAATTTAAAGACTTATGTATTTTGGTTATGGTCTAAATAAATATCAGAGCCTCCGGTCCAAAATTTTGTTTATTATTCATGCAATGATTATATGTAAGTATCACTCAGTTTAGTAAATCGTAGTATAATTGTTTTAGTACTTAATACTTATTGACTACCGAGCCGTACTCTCCAAAAAAATGTTATCAATTTTATAAGCAATAATAAAATGTTACTTTCATCCATAGTATAATCACAGAATATATGAAATAATAATCTATAATAATGGTATAACGAATCAACTAAAAAAAAAATCATATGCATCACTCATGAAAAATTATTCGTTAGATTTTAATAGTATTACAAAAACGGAAATAGACAGATACATTTTTTTATCAATAAGATTCCCTGTGTTGTTTTTCGATAGTATTTCAAACGATAATTAAATCGTCTGTACGTGTTATAAACGTTTGATTAAATCAAATACTCGCGTCGTAATTTTTATAGTGTCTTGTAAAATTGTTTTACTAGTGTTTAAGTTAATCGTATAACAATGCATAATATAATAATTATACGTGCTATGAAATCATAAATAATTATAATAATTGCACGTGACATGAAAGTGAAATTGAACCGAGCACATGTAGATAAACAGATACCCCAACGCGAAATTTAATCGGAATGTCAATCGAAATCGATAATGCAACAATCGAAAAATTGTAGCATAACAACGTAGTTATGCAATAGGTTTTGACAAATATAATGGTATATTAGTTTCGTTTACAATAATATTGGATCGGCTTGTAAAAATAGACCACATACTACTACCGAGTCTTATTAAAGCGGTTTTGGAGTAATATCGTTTTTACCAAACTAGACATGCTTTAGAACTTACACTTAAAATTCGATTTTCAATTTGTGAGTGTTTTATATTACTTTGCTTCTTTTAATTTTTTTATTTAAATATTTCAAAAATAAATTAATTTGAAAATGTCTTGCCTACGATCTCAATCATAATATTTCTGGGTGAGAATTGATTAACATATTTTATGATCATGCAATGGTTGTTTATGAAATTTGAATTATCCTATTTATGAACCGAACATTTAAAAATATATTTATATTATTTCGTTAAAACTTGATTACATTAAACCTCTCGGATCTATTTTACTTTTATGATCTTTAAAAATGTATTTTTATAAATTTAATCTAAAAGTAAACTTATATATTGTCAAACATAATAAGCATCTGCACCACAGAGGATGATCGAAATCAAATACTGCATTCGTTGTACACAAAATGTAAAATGTTTATTTCAGTTATTTCGATAAAAAATTCCACGAAAAATCATGATCCCCGCGCTACGGTTTATATTGACATCTGACGCCTCAACGTTAAAAACCGAATGGTTCGATTTGTTAAACATAACGTAGTACAGGATTGGTGAACCTTTTTCTTTGGACCAGGATCAATGGCGGGGATCGAGTGACAATTTAATTTTAACATTTTTAAATTAAGATTAATAGTTGTTGGAGAGAGAAAGCTCGAGTAATACTAAATCATAAGTTTCTCTCGATCTCCGTCGATGACCAACCGTCCAGATTTGGCTATCGAATCGGCATGCCAAGTGAACAATATTTAACATTTCATGTGAATAAAATGAACGCCAACTCAAATCGCGTCGAACGTTGGATCTACTATCTACTTTATTCTTAGACAATAGGTACGTGCGTTTGGATTTTTCGAAAACCACAGGTTCACCAACTCTGGATTAGAAATAGTGTTTCGTTTTTATAACAGTAGTATTGATTGTGATTAACAAGAGATTTGTGTGTGTGTACGCTCGTTTGTGTGTGTGCTTTTTAACAGAAAACCGGCAACGCTATCCGCGCCCTGGGCCGAATGGCCACCCTGTCAGCGGCCAGCAGACGTTGCGGCGGCAGCGGTGGCGGAGCGACAGTAAGTGGTGGCGGAGGAGTTTCCCAACGGTTGAAAATGGCCAGTCTGAGCGAGGAGGAGTTGGCCGGCGATTCCTCGTCTTCGCCTCCGTCGTCGTCGCCGTCGCCGCCACACGACGAGAGCAGAACGGCCGACGTACCGAAGACGAATGTTGTCGCCGAGACGGACGAGTCCGTGGCCGCGAGCCGTGGAGGTCGACGGTCGTGCGACATGCGCAGCGACAGCGGCTTCAGCGAGTGTTCATCTCTCGCCTCGTCGTCGTCGTCTTCGTCGTCGTCGTCCGCGGCTACGGCCACGGGTGGCTACCATCACGTTCGCCCGTCCGCCAAAAAACCGTCGGCCATTGCTGAAGAAACGTGCCACCAGCCGCCGCAGCTATCAGTAGTCACTTCTGGCCCGACCACTGCCGTGGCCACGGCCATGCGCCCTACGCCGCGTTCTCCCGCTCACATTCCACTGTCCTCTCTAGGTGCCGTCGGAGGGGTGCGCCAGAAGAACCGGTTGATCTTCGACAACACGTCGCGCAAAGGCGGTACCGTCTCTGTTGCAACCGGCGGAGCAGGAATCGGTGGTATCGCAGGACGAGTACCAGCAGGTTCTGCTACTGCTGCTGCTACTGATACCGCTGCCGGAGCAGGAGTTCGCCGCAAAGAGCCCATTCGCATACAGACGGGTGATAATTTCAAAAAAGCCGTCGCGTTTTGGAAACAATGAACGCGACCCTTGTAAAAAAAAAATAAAACTTTATATCCTCTTTATAAGGTTCTGTACATCCCCTCCCCCACTAATCTTAATTGTTACAATAATTTAGCGTTCGCCGTCGAAATAATATAATATAATTAAAAAGAACAATCGAGTACGATCGATTCACACAATGTTACAGGATCGTGCGACTTAATATACTTTTCTTAAAAATGTTTTTACACTTAAACGTTACATTAATTACGCGTGTTATTTGCCAAAGTTTAGAAGTTATATTAATACACATATTGTACCTATAATATTATACATTACAATTTAATGCATTATATCTGTATACAATGCGGTAGTCGCTATGATTCTCAATCGTGGCTTGTTGTATTATATCTTGTCCACTACTGTGCTGTGTTTTATGTATTTTTGTTTTTGCATTTCATATTTGTGTATGCAACGCGGCTCGTGTTGCATACACAAATCATTTTTACGACTATTATTATTATTATTATTGTTTTATTTATATATTCGTCATTGTGTCGCTCATTATACGATTATTATTTTTATTGTTATTATCATCATTGCAGTGTCTTATTATTATACAAAAGTCTGCTTTTATCATTGTTCACCGTCAAAACGTTAATTATTATTTTTAAGATTATTTTTAAGTAAAAATATTTGTGTAGTTACTTGGTGATTTATATTATACCCGAGGCATAAAAAAACCACTCACTTTCTTGCACCTTACCAAATCCATATCGTTTACAGTCTATATGAACGGTTTTCATCCATAATGCATTCATTCAGAGTGATAATAATTTATTTTAATTGTATTCGTAACACAGGACTATAAGTCCAAATCTCTAAGTCTAAACAATATACAACAGGTGATATAATGGCAGTTTAAATAGAAAATTACAATTCAGAATAAGAAAAAAGGACAGAAAAAGAGAGGAAAAAAACTATTACATGGAGAATCTTATAAGCTAAACAATAATACAGCAGGTAATATAATTAAAGTCTTATATGTTAAGTTGAATTAACGCACAAGAGAAAAGGACAAAAAAAATATTATACTATTCTATTAATTTATTTAAGCTTATAATTTTTGACTCCTGAATTATTTTTTTAAAAAAAATTGCATTCCCCATGAATATTGTTATTTAAAACGACGGGCATGCGCTGTCTGGTTTGCGCGGACGCGCAAAGGCCTTATTTGTAACGGCTCCATCTGTTCCCATCCACGATACCGGTAATTATTACTCATCTCTGATTTGGAAAAAAAATTATAATCATTCACAAAATAAAAATATATGTAAAAAAATAAAAATATATGCAAAAGAAGAAAACGTGTAATAGAATATTTATGAAATGTTAACACTGACAATCGTATAAAAATTAATGTGACGTGTTTTGTGTGTACCTTATCATACTTCAACGTTGATTGCTCGGGTAAATCAAGTAATTCGTCACAAGATAACTGCATGTTAAGGAGTTTTGTATAGGCAATTTTAACAAATATACAGCAAAAATGAAATAGTTTTAACATTTTTTATGAAACAAATTAGTAACATTCATTATTATCGTTAACTTTTTTTTCTTATGAAAATATTGCCGCTACTTATATTGTGAAATTGAATATGAAATGAATTCAAAGTTCGACGCAAGTTAATTTAATTTTTTTATTGATGATGAGTTTATTATTATTATATTAATTGACGTTTTCATTTTGTTTAAGTTTTCCATCATCAGTTAACTAAACCAAACATTAATTTAATGACAATTTCATTCATTTAATTTTCTCAAATTATTTTTTTAGCTTATTTTTCATTTCAAACGACAATTACTATTATCTTGGACCATTTATTTTATCATCGAAAACTGTTTAATACCCATAGGATGACCACAATAGTCAAAACCGTTGTATTCTCACGATAATTTTATTAAAAACAGTAAGTATTTTATCATGCAATTTGGAGAGGTACTAGAATACTTTGCAAAACCGAATACCGTATAATACAGCAGAATTTGATCGTATACCTAGTCCATAATAGTTTTAATAATAATACAAAACGATAAAAAAGAAAAAATATTTAGTTGCATTTTATTGAAAACATCGAACACATAATAATAATATTATATATTGCACATTTAAGTATTGATAAATAGTAAACATAATTATTATAGTTGACAATCCTTTCCGAAGGGAAAAGACAACGTAAAAACACAAAAACAAGTAATACACTAAACTTAATAATATTAATAATAATAATAATAATAATAATAATTGTTTTAATTATTCTAATATATATATATATTAAGCGATCGCTTTACATTTGTTGTCCTAAATAACGTATTTTCGAAACAATGTCACGCGAAAAGTAAATGGCATAATAAAATATTTTTATAGAGATTTTAGTTATTATTAAACGTTGTATTATTATACAGCTTATGAACAATCCTGTTCAAAACCTTCGTTCGCCACAGAGAGTACAAAACACGGAGAGGAGATATTAGAAGAAGGTTGAAAACGGGTAAAATATGATTTGACGATCCCCTTCCCTTCTTTCACGTATCCGTTCGGCATGTACGACTCGTACGGGTATAACAAAACACCTAAGTGCATTCAGATCTATGTGTACGACGTATTTTCTACATATACGATTAAGCGAAGTTCGAGTAAAACTTTATTATATTAAACAATATTATTAATTATTTTTTCATCTACTGTATGCAGCGTGGGTGTGGAATAAATATTATTTTTTAAAACCTTAAGGTAGACGAGAAAGAAAACGAACACATTGAAACATATTTTATACCACGTTTACAGCGATGCACGCAAGTTTGGTTGAACGTAATATTATACATAGGTGCATAAAGAGCATTGTGATGTGATCGGTGTACGAACGTTCAAGTTTACTGTTTGATTGTAAAATTTGAAATTGTCGTTGACGTACGGAATTTCGTATAGCATACATATACGAATATATGGTACGATCATTTCCGGATTGAGTACGAAATGGACTTATGGATTTAATGTGAACAAAATTACTATAATCGAAAAATCAAAAGAGTTAATATTAAGAGTCAAACATATTTCAAGACCGAAAAAATCGGAGGCCTTTTAACTTAATTGGTCCGCAATCTAATTCAACAATGGGCCTGATCAGAAATGAAATTGAAGGAGAACAAAGGGGAAAAAAAGGACAGCATACAACATATCAAAAGGTCTAACGAAGTAAGAATGGTGGAGATCAGAAAGTAGATAATGACACATGTTTTCCATTTACATATCAACAGTTATAACATGAATAATCATCACTTCTATTTGTAACAGTTCCATTGATTAATTAGATTAAAAATTTATCGATATTACACGAGGATGAAAACTCGAAAACAACTTAATGTGCTAATTAATTCATATTTCATCCATCTTCGTTTCACGGTCTGTACTTCGTATATCGTATGGTAGGCACTATTGAACGATTAGTCCTCGGTATTTAAACAACTTAAAAATCGCACTTTTCATTCACTATCGATTTAAAAACTCGTATTGTAATATAATAATAATAATTGTATACGTATGCATTAATATGTTATGCTCACGAAGTACGATTAAATCTATTAGAATCGACTAGCCGCGTGCATTGTACACGATAATAATACAGCAGATCTGAGAAGAGATCGTTATTATGATGTGTATAATTCAACATGTATACTGTGATAATCAATGGCAATTATTATTATACCGTTACAAATTTATATAATATTATATTGCTCGAAACATTGGCACATTTTAAGTCCAATCGAAATCATTATAATTAGATTAATATCTACAACAGAATCGAAAACGATTCTCAATTAATTTAGCATAACTATTAATAATAATTTTATCAATATCTAAACACAAACAAAACGTAACAAACGAGAAAAAAAAATGACTAGAAAAACTTGAGATTCGAACGTTCCGGCCGCGTAGGTGAACATCAATTTGAGCGCAATAAGGAGTATTGATAAAAAGCGAATGAGCTTTTTCAATCAGATCGGTAAACAAAAACAGTTTTCGATTGATCCACTTGTGAAACGAGCTATGCAATTTTATGCGACACAGAAATCTCTACACAACAATATAATTTATAGTTCACATATAGCTCTAGAAGGAAAAGCCATTGAAACGTTTGGTAAAATATTAAAAAAAAAACCTATTTATATTTTTTAAAATTTGACTTCGAATTTTTATAATAGTATGAGATTCTTGTTCGAACATTTTAGAGTAAAAATACGTTATCGGTTTACCTGACGTTTGACATAACAAAATTTTGAGAAATCACAATTTTTTAGTAAGTCTAACAGTAAAAGTTCTTAGTACGTAATTTTTTAATAAAAAAATCTTTGACTTATATTGCACACCTATATCAAAATAGTAACAACTCAAAAATAGCTTTTTTCAGGAATGTCGGTTTTGTTGGTGGTACTTTGGTATCGTTCATTCAATAAAATGTACTTACATTGCAATCTGACGGAGAATATTAAAGATAAAGATAAACTTGTTTTGTTGATTTATGTAATTTCGTTTGTAGAATTCGAATATACGTTTAACTAAAAAAACCAACTTTTTGAGTTGTTACTGTTTTGATATGGATGTGCGATATGATGAATTGATTAAACTACCTATTCATCTCGCCTAGGATCGACAAGTTTTTGGATTGCACATTGACAAAAAAAAAAAAAATATATAACTTATGACATACAATACATTGTTATATAATGCACGATTGAAGAGCTTTACAAAGTCCTCAACATTTACAATGTGGAAACAATTGGTTAAAGAGATAGCTAGCGAATTGGACGGATCGATTAGGGTAGAATTTCCAGATATGGATATTTTTCAAGTGTGGCGTTTGTAATTTCAATCAGTCATACTCGACTATATTCGATCGTGGTAATGTCACTCGTATTGCTATATTGCCACGATGGAAATATTTTTATAAAACAAAAAAATTATTACGAGCAAAGACTAAATATTTTGTAAACAAACATTATTTTTTTTATATAATTTATATATATACGAGTATAGATATAAGATTTTATTTTATTTTTATTTTCCAGACATTTGTTTAAGATATCTGAGAATTTAATTTGCGTTTGATAAGAGATTGAAATTATTAAGCATTACTAAAAAAAATATAAACACACTTATCCTCATCGATCCGTTACCCTCGCTCTGTAAAATAGAAGATGGTAGTGAAAGATTTTGGCCACTAGGGACTTTTGAGACTTTTATTTTATATTTTTTTTTCTAGTGGACGAAAATTTCACAAACACGGAAAGAACCGTGCAGAGCCTTTTAGTAAACTGATGTTTTCTGTACAACATCGTATTTTACATGATGTTTGATAATAATATTGTTGTTATGGTGTTTGACGAACGGTCTTCCTCAGAACGTGTGTGCGTTCCGGCACACACCGCACCCCAAAGCAAATTCCTCGCCGGTTGCAGGATGTTTAACGTGCAGCGGACATTCGTCTACGTTCAAAGCCGTCGCTCTCGGTCCTGTGAAAAGAAAAAAAAAATTCAGTGTACATTTAACAAAGCAAAATCAAGTGGAGGAAAATAAAAAGGTAGAATAAATTAATTCACGCCAGAAGGTTAGAAAGAGGTGTGGAGAAAAAAATAATATGACGGGACGACAAATTTTTCAAACATTCCAAACATATAGCTGTGCACTCATACCTTCCGTAAGTATATTTACATAAATACTCAAAATATACTCATATACAGAGTGTTCAATGAACGTAGATGGAATTCGGGCAGTACATTGAGGATGATAACTACCGATAGAATTTATATCAGAAATCCCGAATAGGGTATTACGGTTTCACGTTTTATCTTTTAGATGTCACTTTCCCAAGTCATACGAGTATATTGTTATAAATTTATAACTGCAGCTGTTTATATTATTAATGACTAAATATCATATCACATATGCACAATTTTCAAAAGCCTCGGTATACAAAGCACTTGTCACAAATGCATTTTTAAATAATTGAGTTATGGTTCCGCTAAAATATTACAACACAAAAAAGAAAAACTATGATTACAAAAACTCAGAAATGTGAAAAACTCGAATTTTTTATCAGCTCATGAATTTATAACATTTTCCTACTAATACTAAGTTGTATTACAGTAATATACGTTTTAAATTATCTACTTTTAGGCAAATCATTTCGATAAGGATTATTGTCGTCGACTCACTGTATACAATATCAGTTACCACAGCAGTCCTATGTAATTATAATCGTAGTGATAAGTTTTTTAATTCTTTAAAAAAGAATTTATTCTGTAGAATTGAAGAGCGTTTTTCTAGAAGGTCACATACTCAAATATCGAATAAGCAACTTGATTTTTTTAGAATCAACAATAACCGTTTGTCCCAACATACCACTCATATCTCACTCCTCTAATATAGTATAGTAAGGTCCGTAACACTCCTGTATAGAACTCATATTTATAACAATATCACAGAGTGCAAACAAATTGTCAAATACCAAAAACATTTTTCTTTATCGTCACTTAGAAAATTAAGTATTAGAGCACTTATGTTTAATTGATGACAAATACTGTAGCATTTGAACGGTAATTAATAGTTGTTTTAATAAAAGTAAACAATTATAGATTAATCATGAAATCATATGTTTATACTTTTAAAGTTATATGTATATGATGCGTGTAAGAACAAATTACAATAATAATAGTTACAATATTTTTTAGAAAATTAATCTAAAAATGTTTTAAAAAAAAGCATGTACGTCACATTTCTATAGGTGGAAATAATATTTATAGATTTTATAGGTATAATTTATAATTTTTTACAAAATAATTTCGATTTATTCTGATATTAGGACCTTTTTCTCACATTTTTTCATTATTTTCATTACATTTAAGTTTTTCGTCATGACTATTTCTTACCATTGACAGTTGCTTATGGCCGATGCCACGGATCTAAAATTAATAGTTTTTTGTTTTTAAAGTATACTCGTTGGGTGAAGGGGTAGTGGTATTATTATACTTAACTCAACGTTTTTACTCGATAATCAACTATTTTTTTTTAGTTCCACATTTTTTTAGCATAGTTGTCTACATGATTTTCCGGTCAAAATATAACTTATTACACATCGTTACGTATAGGTTTTAGTTGAATTTAAGTTTGGTCTTTTTGTTTTTTGTCACATTTTAGTTCGTATGGACGTGGTTTAATAACGTCATATTCGCGAAAGCAATATATAAGTGTACGTATATACGTTACCTGCAGGGCATGGCGGAAGTTCGCTGGGCAATAAGTTGGTGACACGCTGAAAGTCGTCATGGCAAGCGTTACAGAAGTGCGTCGTGCCGAAACAAAAGAAAACGGCCACGGAACAGCAGTATCGGCACTTGTACTCCAGCAGATCGGTGCCGTGTTTAGGGCACATCTGGGCGCGGGCCACGTCGCTGCACCCGCCGCACACCAGTTCGGTCGGGTCGTAATCGGTGCCGCCCACGTCCAGCTCGCATCGAGCCTCGCCTCCGTAATAGGCCTGCGGAGAGAAATATTGACGTTCAAAAACCGATCTGCAGGTTCGATTTTACAACAGCGCGTGGTAAAAACACATCAGTAGACAGTTAGGATATATGTACATAAATTAATATTGTATGTTTTAAAAACCGATTGAACGCTGCTGCTGTTGCAGTTGTTCCGAATTCGTTTTAAACTAGCTCCGATGGGGTTTGGGGTTATATGTCTTCATATTGTCGAGTACCTAACTAATATCGTCGAGGTAACGTCCTGGAAAAATTGCTGGTGAGCTCAGCCATTAGCGAGTTCTTTACTCTATAGTAAATAGGCACGCGTGCGCAGAATTATTATTAATATTAATTATTATTTAATAATAATATAATAATAATGAATTAATATTAATCTACCGATGACCAGAGCGCCGGTCGTGTAGCTAATGATAAACGAAAAATTATCAGTTTTTCAATTTTTTTTTTTTTTTATCGTTTGAAGTACATTTTTTACTGTCTGTAAAATAAGAGTAATAAAAAAAAATTGATTGATAATACGATAAAACATCTATAAGTGTAAATTTATGATTTTTCCACCTACAATTTATTTTTCTAGAAAATATTGTCCTCAAACATGATAAATAAGCTTAAAAGTATTTCGCTACTATTCTTCAACGAATAGGTATGTGAAATCTACTTTTTTCTAACAATTCTTCGTTCAATAAATCGTTCACATTGTTCACCTGAAATACTATTTACTGCCAGTAGCATATTACACATTACATTTTTTTTTTTTTTTTTTTTAAACAGTACTGAATCAGTAATGGTTAAAATAAGAATTTTTCTTCTACAAAAGTATCACACGAGGTAAGTAAATCATTAATAAACGGTAGGGTTACATTTTTAGTCCATAATTTTTAATGAATTTTGAATACACATTAGGTACTCAAATTTATTGTTATAGAATAAAAAAAATTCAATCGACGGAAAAAAATTATCCTGCGAAGGTAGTAGTAATAAGAAGGAATTGTTTCGGGTGGATTTCTACGAAAAATAGATGAAAACAGATTTGTCAACAGATGAAATAATTATTTTACATTCACATAATAAACTCCCCCTGATCAATTTCTGGATACGCCACTGTTTTCACTACTATCGGTAAATATAATATAACAATATAATTCTCGATGACACGTTCAAAGTCAGATTTGGACGATCACATAATATGTATTTTATTCTCATAAATTCTAAAAATCTACAGTTTGAATTTCTCTTTTTCTCTCTCCGGTCCAACGCAGGTTTGAAGTAGAACTATTCATCGGGCCAAATTTTATCGAATATTTTCATTAGTAATCGCATATATTATTTCCGAAACGGATATATGTGAATAATGCCATATCATTATATTTAAAATGTAAAATCAGCAATAACTTTATTGTTTGTGAGAAACTATTCTAGCGAATTATCTGTTTATTTTTTTGTAATTTTAACAATTGAAAGAGTACTGTGGAAAAATCAGGGATTTTTTATTTTGTATTATTCAGTATTTTTTATTGGAGCTGTCTGATTTTTACCCACAATCAGCAACAAATTGTATTTCTTGTTATATATTTCTGCTCGGAACACAAGCAACCAGACAGCTCCATTTGCATTATATCGATCGAAATAATTATCAGATATATCTGGTTATTGCGCAAAAATTACAGCCGATTTTTTCTATCAGAATATATAAAAACCTTAATTTTGAACGAAAAATATGGAGCTACCTAGTTATTTCATTGAACCTCTCAATTGGTATGTATATAGTATATACATTACGTAATTAAATGTGTAATATACTTAGGTTAGCCTAATAACCTAACCTAACCTAAGTTAGTTAAGTTGGTCTTTTATAATACATAAATTGTATTTTTTAATGTAGATAGATGACACGAAAGAAATTATAATACGCTCGTTCGGTTTATTATTATTTTGTTCTATAGATAATAGTGATTATTAGGTGAAGCAAGCTATTTAAACATAATCGAATAGTTATAAAAAATTCCCAAATAAATTACCGTCAGTGCCGACTTACTTTTTTGCACTTGAAACACACGTAGTACGCGTACTTCTCCATAGCATACGCGGCTGCATGATCGTTCTTCATGGTGCAGTCACCCTCGTACTCTAAACGCATCAGGGCCTTTCGCTTCACGTCGACCATCAATTCTCTGATCGGGTCCAAAACGTCAGCCAGACACGCGTGTTCAATGGGAATCTGCGAAGTCGTCAGAAAACCGAACAATTCAGCTAGTCTTTATTCAATTTACAAGATAATATGTAGGGAATGTCAATTTTCATGTCGACAGAAGTTATACTCGTATGTGCGCCAGGAAATGTCTGTGCATATTATTTTCATAATTTATATTCCAATTCTGGTTGTAGCTCTCGATTAGTTCCTCGGAAAGGTTTTGATTTCGGTTTCGGTTATCGGAAAATAAGAATTAACGGTTGAATTTAAGAATATTAGTTTGTCTTGGATTACCATAATTTGGTTCAAAAAAACAATACACATTTCTAATTCATAAGTGTATGCAATAGCGTAATTCCTTATTCGAATATGCATACACTCGGTATAAAAATATGTATGTATAAATTTACATTTTTAACATACAGTAGCACATAAATAACCTATTATAGATATGAATTGAAATGTAATGTTGTATTAAATTAATTTTTATGTAGTGAAAATATTCCTGAAAAACACTAACGTATACATAATTTGTAAATGCGACGTTTACCTTGCAAATAGGACATTGTTGAAATCCGAAAGTGATACGCGGTCCTGGCCATTTGTTGATTAATACTCTTTTGCAACATTGATAATGGTACACGTGTCCACAAATGAGCTGTGAAAAAAAAACCACTGATTTTACTAGGTGTACGTCGATATAATATATATATATATATATATGTCACGGTTAGTGTCCGAAGGACGGCTAATATTAAGTTTAGACAATGCTTTTGGCTAATGTCAAAATTTCGGACTTGAGCCACCAAAAACAAATGGATAATCTTAACACTAGCCAATAAAACCAACATTATCTAACCGTTATCGGCTAATGACTAAATAATATAATGTCATAGGTAAATTAATGATTTAAAACTATTTACAATAATAATACAATATTTTAAAATTTTAATTTTTAATGAATATTGATATGTCGAGTAGTTGTATAGAGGTGAGCCATGCACGTAGTAAGTAAAATATTTTCAATAATATAAATATTGTACACAGTTGTGTCCATTTTATTATTATTTTAAAATTGATATTGATGGCAAAATTCATACAGAATATATGATAGAGAAAGATAGATAGAGAAAGTCCGTAATAATCTATCGTAACTACCGACTCAAGTTTGTAAGTAGTTAAGATACCAGCTTGTAGTACTTTGTAGGTATATCTTGTTTTCAAACCTGGGTGTTAATATGTTAAAAGTTAAGTTAAATTAACTCCTTAACTTAACTTATTTCATTACTAATAAATTAACTTAACATTATATCTTAACTAATTTCCTTACAAATTAACTTGAAATTAACGTATTATTTTGTCGTTTATCCCAATTAAGTTAATTTTGATTTTTAAGACCAGAAAAATATTTTTGTAAAATATCGCATTCGATAATAAGTTCATGGAATTTAAAAAAATATAAAAATAAAAATTTCGAAGTAAAAAATTATATTTCTAATACTAGCTGTATGCTACAATTATATAAATATATTACAGTAAATTTAAAATTAACAGTTGCTAAATGTTTTTCTCCATTCAATTCAATTTAAATATAATTAAAACACCGGTGCATTGCGAAATTAAGGTATTTACGATTGATTACCTGAATGGATGGAGCTGCGGACAGAGCATCCGTGAAACAAATCATGCACATATCATCGGCATCTTGTTTTAAAGACGAATTCTCGTTGTTGGCACACCCGTGTAGACAAGGCAGACATTTCGTTTCGTTTTTAATTCCACCGCATAGATGACCACATTTTAATACTTTTTGACAGCCGTTTTGCGCGTGCAACTGTATCGATTAAACAGTCATTAGAATATTATAACTAACGTCTATTTCCAAGTTAGTTAATAATACAATTTAATGAGCGAAATAAAATCACAAATGCCTATTTCCTTTTTAATGATATTGGACCCATCTAAACCAGTTGTGAAAAAGCAAGACATACTATTAAATATTATTCAACCACGTCAATTAGAATTAACATTTTTTAGATATGTAAAACAAGTATGTTATAAAATAAAATTAAAATGTTTTTGTACTCCATCAGAAAATAAAATAAGAGCTTTTTAAATTTTAAAAATTAATATTTAAGAAGTAAAAATCGCTCATCTTCGCAATCAGTATTTAGCACAAACAAATTATTGTAGTATATACACGACAACACGACGACAAACTTGTCGGTTGTCGTGAATTTTTCGTTCACCCGCCCTCACCTAACAACTTATGTTTCGTACAGCGTTTTTTAAACTTATCTCTTATAGATCTACTCTAGCCGCGAGCCCGATATTTAAACGTATTCCTTGACGTTTCTAAGTGTATCGTAAGTTCTTATGTTGATCTCGCTGGTACCTGACATTCGTCGTTGGCGCAGACGTTTCCGATCGCAAGCAATCCATCGTTGCTCACCGTACCGCAATATCGGCACACTCCAACCCTGGCGAGCTGAACGTTGGTCCGGGCCACTGGCACAGACAGATCGGTCGAGCTCGACGCGGTGTCACGGAATTCGACCAGTGCCTGCAACGTGGCTTTGTCGGCGAGTGCGAGTAACCAAAACAACTTGGTTCGTCCGCAACCTTCGTGCAAATCCACTTTGATGGCTTCTTCTTCTTCTTTGCACACCTAACAGCGACGGTATAAATAATAACAGAGCGAATAACACATTTCTTCGGATCGGTTATATCGGTATATCGTACACGGCGTACTAACACTGACCAGTCGGTTAGGGGTTTGGGCTGTCGGAGCATCAAAGATTTTCATCTGACCCAGCTGATTGTATTGTTCACACGGATAATTTGTTATTTTGGAAAAAGCGCTATTGTAATAGCAGTTTTTGTTCGAATAATCCATTGAAAACGTGGTAATAACTGATTACTGTTAATACTTGTCGAAAAATATTTAAGAAATAACAACACGAAGTTAGCCATTGAATACATTTCACCGATTTATTATCTCTTACGCGCCTATAACACTCAAGTTGAATCGGTACTCGACTTCAAACCTCACCTGGCTGTGAAAATAAGGGCTGGAAACTACATTCAAGTACAGTTCAAAAGGAGAGGGGGAGTATCCATTACTATTATTTACTGTCCCATAGCTATACCATTACAACGACAGTATTTACTTGTCTCTGGTGGTGTTTGGTCTTCCGATGCAAATGCAGAATCCTGTCGCAGTCGACACAAAGATTTCCACACGTGAGACACTGGATAGCAGCAGCGGTCTCACCATCGTCGTGATTCGTACATAAGGGCTACATAATTATAAACAATACAATTTAGTATGCTAACGTTTTTTTTGAAAAAAAATATTTTGACACACGCAGATCATACTCACTCTGGGCGGCGCGGGCTTCGAATTCTCTGGTTTCAACCATTGACCGGACGACAATCTTTCCGCGTGTTCCGGATGCAATACGCAGTGTGATGCCAGCGCTAGCCATAAGACCGGATTGTTGATGCACGAGTCCATCGTTCTCTGTTCTTTGCTCAGTCTGGTCAAGTTCAATATGTTTTCCGCGATCGCTGCTCTGGTCGTGTCAATCCAGTTTTTGTTTCCTCCTAACTTGCCCTGTATCAAAATAATTAAAATAAGCGGTAAAATTACGAATCTAATCGTCATCCGTGCTTTTTCATGTCGCGTTCTACTCACATTCGACATGTCCCACAATATCTGTATGATGTCATCGGCCAATTTTCTGGAAGATGTTCCTTTTAAATACCACCACGAATGATCGCCGGTATATTCTACGTCTTGCAATTTTAACGAATTGACGACCTTACTGCCATTTGTACCCTTCACTTTGACTTGCAGTATTAACGATTTTGCGATAATGCTTAGGAAATTGTCCAGAAGTCCAACCTTGTGGCCTTCGGACTGTGGGCTGGCTATGGAAAACCCGGTGGGCGGAAGTCGAGCGCCGGTCAACGAAGCCAACGCGCTGGGAGACACTTCGGGCAGCACACGTTTGAGCAAAAGCGTGACCTAAAAAAGTAATGTGCGTTCAATAATGGTCGTCCGCCAAGGAGAATAATCGTTTAGTATAACTTGTCTTTGAACTCGGGCGCTGCCGGTATGCAATAAACTCAACAGGTTCGACAGCAGATCGTGTTGGTCGGCTAAATAAGACCTGCCGACGTCGCTCCCGCTGAGAGCCGATACCATCGAAAGCATTTCGAAACAATACGAATCGGTCGGCGTGACCGTACCGTTATTGGACGTGTTATCGTTTTTGCCCACAGACTTCTCCCATTCTTCGCGCATTATGATCGCTTCCTTCCGTATGGCGTCTACAATATGAGTGCACACCTGAAACCGACAAATTTATTATTATTATGTTACATTTTAGATAACTGTCGCCAAATCACTTGTTTTTGCAAATGCGTCAATTTGTTCTGACTGAACAAAATTCCGACCATGTGCTCTTTTAGATCTTTACTTTCTTCGACACTGGAGTCCATCGAAGTCAGTTTACCTTGTATCAACTTTCCGAAAACCTTGAAAAACGACAACGGATTTAAAATGAAAAAGTCGATGGTATATACATCGTATAACATTAATAATGAAATTATTGTTGTTCGTCTCACCTGAAAAGTAATCGATCGGAAAACTTTCAGAGTTTCGTTTTCGCATTGTCGGTGCTGAATGGTAGAATAACTATACTGGCGACCGTGCGCTAGAGACTCTCCGGACACAATGCCGAGGAGTTTGATTTGTCTCACGCGCACAGACGTGTCTGAGCTTCGTATTTCGACACAAAGTACTTTGTGAGTATCGTCTGTAAACAAAAAACCGGACGAGTGTATGAAACGTAATAAAATTAAAAAATAATAAATAAGTATAATATATATAATGACTAATGTGAGTTAATTACCATTAATAAAAACTCCGAGCCAACCGCTGAAACGGTTTTCGACGTCGATCGTTTGTATTTTGTTCAGTTGTTCGGTCGTCCGACCAGAGGAAAACACGACCATAGACACTTTATTCTACACAAAATCAAATGAATTATAGTTATTTGATACATAAAAGTATACATAAATGCAAAAGTAAACACGAATTCGTCATAAACAACACTAACGTTTAAATCACGACAGTTGTCAAAATGAACGTAAAGAGCCTTTGGTGTTTCATACGAACGAGTGCATTGTATTGTTATGGTTTTAAATTTGTTTTTGTCATCTTCACTCGATTCCCAAAACGTTTCGGTCGTTTGATCTGTTAAATTCGACACCATTGCCGGTCGACTAGACGCCGTGATTTCGATGCTACCGGTAATGTCTTTAAGCGAAGATACGACGTAATTCTCGAACTGTAAATATATAATTTTGAAACGTTATTTTTCTGAATGCACACGTTCATAAATGTTCGTAAATATATACCTCTGTAACTCCTTGTTGCGCATCTTCACACACATCTTGATATTCCTCGCTGTGCGACAAAATCTTGCTTATGTTGCTGAATACTTTGCTCCTTTAAATATTAAATCAACGACAATTTAATTTAGAAACACATTTATAAGTGGTATAAGCGCATTTGATATACCTGTGCAAAAACATGTGATCGACCGGTGTGAAATTAATGTCCCAACAGCGAACGGCCATCATCTGGAGGGCAGACCCAGGGGGTAAGTAAAGCATTAGGTCGGAGACGGTTTGCAAGAACTGATAAAACACTTGAGGCAAAGGATTGACGGAGTCACCAGCCAGGTATAAGTCACTTAATGGATGTCGGCACCTGGGATCGGTGGAGTCGTTGGAACCGTCAACTGTGCGGACCTCGGCCGACAAGGCAATCACGAACCACCACAGCAGATCGTGCAAACACGATGCTTGTGACACTTCGTGTAGTAACCAATTGAGAGCCTGCAATAATGACAATACATTGCATAGGAAGTTATCCCCGTTGTTGTTGGTGTTATCGTGTTTATTCCACTTCGCAATATTACTACCTTTATACATATATAATTTATACAATCTTCTTACTTGTAGAGCATAACTACGACAGGCAGCTTTCCGTACAGCTTGTTTCATGGCCCATTTCAGATCGGCCAAATTGTGTGCTTCGACGATAAACGCCATCGACGGTCTGTTGAAAACATTTATCTTTGATATTTCGTTACTAACTACACCATCGACAGAGCAATCAACCATCATTGTGTTGTCAACACTAGGGACGAGTGCCTGTAAGGCCGCGGACGGCATGCACATGAGTGATAGTCCATTGTCTGAAACGAATGGAAATTACTTGATTACATATGCTAAATAATTACAATGTAATTGTTTACACACCCACAGTCGCAAAGATCGCCCTCCCGTCTACCATGATTTTGTTATTTTTCATGATTATTATAATTACCTGGGCCCTATCGTTATATTATTATTATATTATTGTATAAATTATGACTACTGCATTTATCGGCGATTGCACTTTTTCGGTTTCATGTTTCTGAAATAATCGCCGATATACGGCATATAAAAGGCCGCACGATCGTCGATCAAGTATCAGTCGTTTACCTGACTTGTAGCAAGACCCTCCCGGGCAGACTTGCGCACTTCAGGTCAAGCCTTTCCCACCAAACCTATCGGGCAGTATTTATATTGGTCAATAGTGAGAGTATTCCGGTATTGCACTGATCAGTAAATATGTCGCAGTTCATGGGGCAGTAGTCGGAGTATTTTGGCATTGCACCGACTGTCATACCGTTTGGTTAGCTCCCAGTCGTGCGCGATTTAACATACCTCGAACATCTTACCTTTGTAATTCTATAAAGTGTAATTTTATAAAATATTATGGTCATTGTGATTCAACACAGTCATTGTTTCTTTTCATTCGTTTTTTTTTTTATATTTTTATTGCAAAAATAATTCTATTACGCAACAACAGTAACCATTGCAGTGTTTTCAAATAAAATGCCTACTCTGTGCAAAAATGCAATGTAATGTAAATAAATGCAAGAACTATTGACGTTTTAATTTCAAAGTTGTACGTTATGAAATTGTAAAGTTAGTCTCGATTATAATTATTTAATATTGCACTAATCAACATATTTTGTTGGTAAAACTCGAACGTCGAAACTATTCGACCATTAAAACTATTTTGTACAGTATTCGAAGATTAGAACTATCCGACAGTAATGTTCGAATAGTTTATGTTGAACTGATCGATAGTGTAACAATTCTGTTTGTTTCTAATAGAAATATATTACTCGTACCTAAATCATTACGAAACATTAAAAAATTCGTTTAAAAACCGTACCTGATTCGATGGTGCTGTTGATTCGTTTTCGGCGATTAATTATGTCTTGTCGGCTCAGCGGGGATTTCTCGATGTCCATCGAAACCGAACGATGAAAGCTACGACTTACAGTTCCGTCCACAACGTCTTGGTCCTGGGACGATACCTGCACAAACATATGTAATTGTTTATGAAATGCTTAAAAGACGATTATTATTACTGTACGCACTCCAACAGAACAATCTTGTAGTCGAAGTAAAACGTCATCGTTAGTGTCCGACAGCTGTTTACCAGAAACTTCCAGGTTACCTAAACATTTGAACTCGCCAACGGTCCACGGGCCGGAGTTCAAAGACGTGTCGTGATCGGCTAACCTACCGCCACTGGTGCTAGCCAAGTCCAACAGGAACATAGCGTTCTCCTTGAAGGTCACGTGCAGGTTGTCCACCAGCTCTTCGTTGCAGTTCAACCCTAGAAAGAAAACGGAACGGGTAAACGTGTCGGTACAGATCAACCGCGATGCGCACAGAAATCGAAGGAATAACAATGGTCGGCGATCGATATTTTTAACGAAAATAACATAACGGAGACGATCGAGAAAAGAAGGTCGCGATGGACAGGACATGCGATGCGGGGCCAGAATTCTCTACTGAGAATGGAGTGCTGGAACAGAATCCAGTAGGAAAGTTACCACTAGGAAGACCGAAATCGAAACGGGAAGATTTAGTCAAAAGGCGGAGCGAACCGGAAAGATTTGGCGATGGATAGGGACGGCTGGAGAATCGGTTGTGAGACGGGGGGGGGAGGGGGGGATGGTCGTGGCGACCCGAGAAAGAAGAAAGATGGTCGGCGATCGTCAACGGGACTCACCGTGCGGCGGCTTGCAGTCGGCCGCGCGGCGCGCGGCCGCGGCCGTTTTCCGGGACCGGACCGGACCGGACGGGACCACCACGGACTCGGCGGCGCGCTTCATGTAGCTGCCGCGGCACGGCTCGCACATCAGGTACCACGCGATGCCGCCCTCGCCGCACGCGCCCGACCACCCGGTCTTGTACACGCCGTTGCTGGTGTACCCGCGGCCGCCGCTGCTGTGGCCGCAGCCCGGGTGCGTGGTCAGCATGTGGTAGGACACGGGCATGCCGAACACGTCGCCGCACAGCTCGCACAACATCGGCTCCTTCTGCTGGTGGTCGGGCATCAGCCGCCGGAATATCCACTCGTTGTGCTCGTTCGCGGACGCGACCCCGGCCACGGCCGCTTTGCCGTCGCCGCCGGACCTGGCCGCTTCCCCTCCGCCGCCGCCGCCGCCGTCGTCGCCGTTCTCGCCTTCGTCGCCGCCGCCGCCGCCGCCGCCGCCTTCGCCGTCGTAGTCGTACCCGTCGTCGTCGTACCCGTTGTTGTCGTCCACGGCGCCGCGGTCGGCGCAGCCGTCGTCGTCAACGCGATCGTCCGTCGCTTTCGCCGCGGCCGACCGTTCCGAGGACGATTCCCGCGTTCCGTTCACCGCCGTGAATATCTGCAAGACGACGGTTAGTTTACAAAATCGATTCTATTGAAAACTATGCAAAAAACATTGTTCGAGTTCGACGATCTTATCGGTTTTTATTCGAAAACGTAGAACTACTTCATTCAATCCATTTAGTGAACGCATAAATCCAATTGTTTAAAACCGTTATCCGACAAACGTTGCTGACAATTTTTTTTTTTTTTTTTTTTTACTTATCATATTGTACATTTATCGTTGTACAATTGTGTTCAATGAAAAATTATTTCTAATGATCATATTAATTTAAACGATTATCACTCATCGATTTGGTTTATATCTTTTTCGGTCGTTTCCGTGATAGGTAACCCTTCTGTAGAATAATTTATTTACTGCGAGTTGTATTTCACAACGTAAATCACAACGTTTCTAATTACAAATTATACATCGATTCTACAGCATTTTCATACGGGAAAACCTCGTTGACTTATTGAAAGCACAGGAGTCGGAGCGTGGTCATTGCAGAAACAAATACAAACAAGTTTCACACACGATGGACTACGGAAACGGAACCTGAAAAATAAACCTAAGAAAAAAACGTCTTATTATACCGAGGTATAAACGAAACACTCTAACAAGCGTGAGTTACAACTTTTTGTAAATGTTATCTCATAGTATTTTTCGAAGTTTACCTTTAGGTCTTATCTATTTTATGCTTGAATCGACTTTTATTTGTATAATTCAAACTGTAAGGTAGATACATGATGATTACTTTTTAGTTTTGATAAGATTAAAAAGGTTTATTGTGGAAAATTGAATGAAGTAGTACAGATTAAAATTTAAACATTAAATGAAAACAATTAAACGTTGACAAACGACGAAGCTCATCTATTGACTGTGAGTATATAACTATATTATATAAACTGAAAGTACCTTTATAATTATTTATATCCAAGAATTATAATTATTTTAAGCGTTTTATTGTTATAAGTATATCGTAAAATAAGACATTAATACTATTTTTCGAAGAATACAATCCATTTAGTTAATTTCAATAATAGGGTTCTTTTTTCGCAATTCACTCACATTGCAGACCCGCCTCACCAGAGTGTTATCTCGATTACAAGTTATCTCCGAATTGGTTAAAAAGTCGCAAAAATTGCTTCCACATCGATTTTTGTCTGTATAGTGGTAATAATTGTTTGTATAAAAAAAATACTTCAAAATCTCTTATCGCGTCCAGTTCGCTCACATTTTCCTAGCGAAAATCATGAATCATAAGTGTTATGGAGTTTGTACTGTGTAAATCAGTTCTCAACTGAAAAAATTACTCACAATTATATTATTATTTACATTGTAACTGACGAAGGGATGATTTTAAAAATAAATGTATTAAAATAAATATCAAGTTTACAAATTACATCTATCCCTGAGTGCCTTGAACGCATCTTCGAATTTCGATAAAAAATTAAATTAATAAAACAATTTTGGCAAAAAAACATTTGCACACATATTTTACTTAGGTTTGAATTTTAGTGTTCAAAAAGTCGATGTAAACATTGCGATCACTTAGTATAACACGCATATCAACTAACTACAGACGATGTGTACAGAATGCGAAAAAATAAACAAACACCGCCAACTTAGTTCAACGTTTATTGCATAACTGCACCGGAACCGTTTGAGACACGGTGCAAAACCTTGTAAATCCATTATCAATCCCGACTTATGGTCAGGGAGTACGAATCAATTCTCGAATCTACTAAAAAAATTAAAGAATATGATTTATGTAAAGTTGAATGTAGTAAATAATAATAAAATATTATATATAAATATATTTAATTGTATTATACACGCACCGCTGCGGTTTATTCGTACTTAATTTATTCACTGTTATGTCATTTATTATTTTATTTATTTATATTTTTCTTCTTTCTTAAGTTGGCTTTTCGTTACTTGTCCTAACAAGTAATTACATAATTTCAATGAAATTCTATATTCCACAGTGATTGTTGACTTTTCTTATTCTGATTTATTATCGTAATAATAACAATGTGACTGCCATAAAACGCAAATAAAGACAATAAGGAAAAATGTAATAAATACAAATAGGAAAATTAATTACATTATTGTCGTCAGTTTCATTACGTATAATTCATTATACAGTTATATATGATATTCACCGCCTACAAATATTTAAATATGGAACAAACATAACTACACGTTTATTTATTTGATGGTTGTTTTATAAGGTACAATAAATTACTTTTTTGATGTTGAAATCACTTTAAATACCTTTGCGAGCCAGATGTCGCCCATGGTCCGCTGGTTGGACACCACTACTCTAGGCTAAAAAATTATTTATTTATTTCTATAAACAAATAATTTGTTTGTTTATTTTTCATATTAATTTACGAGTGTTAACCATTTATTAGTTTTTAATTTTAATTTTATTTTCTGATCCGATTTTTATTTCACTTGTAATTCAAAATATTCCAAAATGTTTTTTATTCGTTGCTCATAATAATTTTATGAATTATGATTGTTTATGAAAATATTTATTTTAATAATAATAAAAACGATTTATTGTAAAAAAAAAAAAAAATAATTTACAATAAATGATAATACCCTTAGTGAGCATAGAGTACAGTAGGTAAATGTCTTATAATTAATTAAAAATATGAGAATGATAATACAAAGTAATGTGAAAATAATTATAAATTAAACACATATTACTCGTAAATTGATTTCGTTTACACATACGTGTTTAATATTAATATATTACATATAAATGTATAGGTTATATTATATGGATATTTTTTAATTTGCTCGGCGAATCAAAAAATAAAATTCAAAGTCATTAATGACACCGATAATTTTTATAACCCCGCGAAAATCGCTATAGCGCACCGGGGTATACACCGGTTATAGTTGGAATGCAAACAAATGAGATGAAAGTGTTATAAACACAAAATCAAGCCCTGGTATAAAGTGTGATTGGTTGCGCACCTGAAGCATGTCGGCGGAGATCACGTCCCACAAGCGCACCATGCAGTTGAGCGCTGGCGGCAAAAAGTTCACGGTCGTCGTTCCGCCGGCGGCAGTCGTCGTCGTTTCCGGTTGCCCGTGGTTCTCGGCGGTTTCCGAGTTACCGGAGCTGGTCATGCTCTCCTCGGTGATCGCGCCCTCGGACGGCATCGCTTTCGGCCGGTTCACTTCGTTCGGTCGGATGTGCCGGTATCCGACCGCGCCGGTCGTCACTTCCACCGAATGCCTCTGCAGACCGCGATCCTTGTTCCTGCAATAGTAACATGTGTGTAAGGTATACGCGTAACCCGGTTACGGGATCGATAGCGTTCCAACACCGACAGCAGAACGGTCCCAAGACGAAAATTTCACACCAATACATCGTCATGATGTTTTATGTAATACTGTAAAACTTAGAGTGCTATTTCCGAATGTTTTTAGTGTTCATGGACTAAAGTGTTTGGGAAGGTGCATGTATCTGTTTCATTTTTTTTTTTTTTTTTTTTTTATTATTATTATTATTATCATCATTATTATGTTTCGTGATACTGAATTTTAATGAAATGGTCTTACATTTTTTGAAAATTTTGTTTTTCAAGATTAAAATGTACGTTTAAATATTAGCTTCAATGTTGCTAACCATCACTCGTTCGAAAATAATTTATTCCACTATAAATGGAAACATGAGCGAAACAAAGTTTAGAGTACATAATATAATTTCCATAATTTTCAAGAATTAATTAAAAAATAATTCGATCATTTTACATCAAAATCATTTTTTTTTCATTATTTTATTTGATTTTTTTTATTAATTTTCAGTAATTTGTTAACATTTGTTTCCCTGTAGACACCTGCATATTGTACGCCATTTTAGAAATCTGTCTCTGGCTAATTTACATGATAATCCGGTCTAAAACTGCTATTAAACGGTAGTGCTTTTATTAATCATTAACATACCTCTCGTTCATCCTCTTTGTGACCACTGCGCCTTTTTTGGGAAGACTCGGGTAGAATTTCAAAAACGACGCGCACGTCATGGCATCGTGTACGATTCCTTCGTGCCACAAAAACGCGGCGAACACAGCTCGCAAACTCTCTGCCATCGACGGACTTAACGCTAATTTTACTGTTTGCCTAGAAAATTTCATCGTTTTAACAGTTTTAATAACAATAATAATTAACTTTATAAAATCTTTATTTTACTGAACAACATATTGTTTTATGATATTCTTTGTCTTGATATCTTAAACAATATAGGAATATTATAATATTCTTAAAAACGAGATAAAAATATAACTGTTGGAGATTATTGTTTGTATTTATTTTAACAATAATACCGCGTACGATAGTGCTAACTCAACTGTAATAATTATAGTTATTAATTAAACATTATGATTAAATTGTAAGTAGGAAGAATACGTCGCCAGTAAAATTATTTTGAGTATTTATTGTGATAAATTTTTTACTCGTAGACGCAAACATCCCTACCTTTATTAAACGTCTATTAGAACGCTAAACTTCTATCTTAAACATGTTCAATATATTTTGCAGTCACCATAAATTATAAAGGGTTAGGTTATAAATCGTACACATCATCACTATGGCTTTATGTATATATTTAATTAATTTCAGCTATAAATTATAATATAATATAATTAGATTGCAATCTACTAACTTAGGTTCCTGTAAGATGACTTCCGGTTGATTATATTTGGACTCGGTAGAAGAGACTGATTCAGTTTTCAGTCCGTTCTTTGAACTTGATTGATTTTTAGATGGCATTTTGGTTTTCGGTTTACTGTTTGGCACAAAACTGACTCTCTCATTTTCAGGCGTTGTTTGCGTAGCTGCTTGTGCTACACCAGCGAAAATTTCAAACTTCTGCTGATAAAATTATGTAATAAGTTAATTAAGATAATTAGCATAAATATTAAGGCTTCTTTGAAACCTGTACATCTGTTTCCCGATTTCATTGTGACAAAATTAACAAACTTGGTTCACCGTTAAAAAGCCACTAATATGCGGGTAGACTATACATAAAAGGAGCTTATAATGTTGGATAGTTTAGAATCATCGTATCAAAGCCAGTGAATAACATTATAATTCAGCGGAACTAAATTTTAATTTTAACCATCATTTCGAGTTTATTGCTTAGAATATTAAACTACCTAAATCTCTAGTAATCTAAGTTGTAATATATAACTCTGAATTTTTACTTCTTCCCGCTCCATATTCACAGCCGTCTTAAAAATATATTTTAGTAAAAGTTATTTTGTCGGTTCCGAGCCAAAATAATTATTCTATCATTTAGATTCTAAAGTTAAGAAAACACGTAGTTAGATAGGTAGGTAGGTACGCCATCATTAATAATGATTATGTAAAAGTAATGATTTTGAATACCTTGCACGTGAATGTGAACAGGTATATAGTATAGCAAAGGTGTTGTAAAACTTTTCTAATTAACTACAAATTGCTTATAGTTCTTATTTAATACATGACGGCCAACCTAAATGTGTTGCTGGTTATAAAGACGTTTCCAGTGTAATACACTAGTGCGCATGATAATTAATTACAGAGCAAAAGGGTCTCTGTAAACTCGTGGTAACATTTAGGTCTTAGATTTAAATGTTATCACACCATTCAAGTTCAGCCTGATGGAGCGTTATATATAGTAAGAAGGGGTCGACTCCGGTCTAGGTAACAGTGGTATTTTGTCATATACAAGTTGTATGATTGCTACGTACTGTCAAACAATCCTGTTGGTCGGGTGCCGAACTCTCCGCAGATGTGGACAAACTCGAAGTCAGATGGGTGTCAACCGATGACGAACTAGTGGTCGGAGGTGCCGTGGTGTCACTGGACGCCGATAGTGAATGGTTGTACGTTGTTCTCCTGAGACCTGAACACGAAAAGCGGTTATCAAAAAATCACGAGCCGGTAACTATTTGGTACATCACTGAAAGATTTTTTAGCACATTTCGTGTTCGATCACTATTTATTCCATTAAAAAATTTAATGTAACACATTACGAGCGTATTTCTCGATTTACAAACTGTTTTTGGATCCGATTCGTTTATGAATTGTATATACCAAATAACTCGTCTTGTTCACTCAAGCTCTGGAATAGAGCCATCCAACATCTAAGGTAACGATCTTAGATATAAATAATCGAACTATTGTTGTAGACCAAAACTAATGTGATCCCACTATACTTCCAAAAATAGTACAATTTTATCACAATTACAAATTTAACGCGATTCTATAATTAACAATTTTCTTCGCTTCCTCGCATGCTGTGACATTACAACTCCGAAACAGTTTAACACAAATTAAAACTTTTAGATTACACGTTTTACGAGAAAATCGTTATTATTGTGTATCATCGAGGAGCGTAATATTCTTTTATCATACGTGTATGCAGGGACGCAAGGTTTTTGTGTGTTTACCTTTATTACAGTTTAAACGTAACAATACTCTCGTTTCTATAGGTATAATTGTATACTTTTCCCAGTCATACGGACGCGTGCATACATTATTATCTACTTACCCGCCGTGTCATTTTTTGGTGCGTTTTTGTGGTGCTGCTTTGTTTTTTCCACGCTGTAAATTTTATTGAGGGGTGCCTTGCGTGGACTACTTGGTGGCATCACAACCATATTACCGTTGTTTAGCCTAGTCTCTGGCTTAGACCGATTGTACGGAACCGGCAAAGGATTAGCGTTCAGTCTGTAAGCCGAGAGTATATGATAATATTATATTAATAGTAATAATAAAAAGCGGTCTACTAGCGATATAATCTCTGTCACACGTACCCTTCTATCGCATGCATGTCCTTTTTCCGCTTTGGCGAAAACTGTTTTTCCAATTTCTCGATTTTGATCTCGTTATCGTCTGAAAACAACCCGTACAAAGATTAGGATCCACAGAACTCCGGGCTAATATGTTAACATTAATATTATCATCAACGGCTCAGCGGTGACATGCATGAGGATTTTCGGAGCAAATGACCCTGCGGTATCAGATGGTGAGAAAGTTATGAAACTTTATAAATAGTATGTTACAATAACATGGACCAATACTAATGTACTGAGGTACTAACGACTTCACCGCTATACACTATTATACAATTTCAAAATATCACCCAGATTATAGTATTAATAGCAATATTTATTTTTTCTTAATATAAACACTCACGAAATATCATCGAATATGATTTCTGCGTGACTCGTTTAGCAATACATACAAATGTTTCATCATAAAATTAAAATAGTTTTCTCTTTTGTTTTCATTACAATAAAACAAAGATTGGATAGGTTATCCATGTGTATGTGACACGTTTAAGAATATAAAATTAACAAGAAGTATATTTCGGCAGTAGCATCAGTTCTATAATAATGGTTCCTTCAGAATAAGTTTTTTAAGACATTTGTCGCAGGTGGTTCATTGGTTCAACAGTTTAATTTGGTAAAACGTTTTAAAGAGATGGGTGAAAAATTGTCCGTTGTTGTCTTACCCATGTGTAACTGCTCGATCACGTAAGAGCTCGTGCTGAAACGTTGTTGTTTTACGTTGGCGTTACTTCTGCAATTGGTTAATTTTGGATCTCTCGCAAGCTCGTTATCCACCCTCTGTACCAAACACTCTTCTTGCTTCTCGATCTCTAAAAACAGTCGTTTCATATCATGATTAATAATATTATCAATTATTAAAATATTATCATATTTACGGATACGATAATGTGACATAAATCACATATATACAATGGTAGATTTAACATTTCACGTATGTATAATATATATATTGTTCTAAAAATCATATTGATTACAATTACTCATTCGATGATATAACCTTAAATATAGATTATTTAATAAAATACCTTGGCGTTTACTTTAGCTCAGATTTATTATTTAAACTAAATCATGTGCATATGTTCAGCAAATCAAATAAAATGTTAGGCTTTATATTTATAGGAATACTCAAAAATTAAAAAAATTCCCAATACATTAAAAACAATTTATTGCTCCCTCGTACGATCTGTTTTTAAACAATAATTTAGTGTTAATCGTTATCCACTCATATTCACGATCTTGATAATATCCAATTTAAATTTTTAAAAAGAATTGCCCATACAAACAACCTACCCATATCTAAAGACTCTTTTATGTTGGTTCAAAATGTTGTAAACTTAAACTCTCTTAAGCTAAAACGTCAGTTATTTGATATAATATTTGTATACGACTTGTTAAATTATAATACTATATGCCTCACTTTTAGCTCAGGTCAGTTTTCATATATCCTTCTCACTATTCGTTTTCATATATCCTTCTCACTATTCGAAAATTCAAGATCTTTTTGGCATTTTATTCTTTAAATACAAATCAACAAGTGACTCATTTCTTGTTAGACCTCTGAAACTAGCTAATAAGTCTCCACTGCTTAACATATTTTTAACAAACCTTGTGATACATTTAGACTTAAGTCGACTATAATTAAAAAAAAAATTAATTTTAATTTAATACTTTTATATATTTGTTTCTTTGTAATTTATATACCTAAATATTTTTTATATTATTTACCGTTGTACATTATTCTATCACATTGAACATATTTTAATCGTGTAAATACTAATATTACTATTACATTTATACTTATAGTTTAACATTCTAAATATAATATATACAGAATATACATAAAAAAACTTTTTCAGATAAATATTCTGATTCAGAATATAACTATAAAATAAAAATAAATTTTACCATTAAAAATTATTAAAAACTACTTCAAAAAATGCTAGCGCTAAGACATTAAAAAATTATAATCGTATTGTAATTGGTTATAACTTGAAATCATGGAAAATATTTTCACATAAATAAATAACAAATTTATCGATGAATGAGTATTTAATATATATATATAAATCACCATGGCGATGCAATACATATAGGTATTTAATATAGTTTAGAATTATATATATTTATTTATGACTGTAGGTTCATAAAAAATACGGTTTCTTACATCATTATTTTTATACTCATTACTGTGATGATATATTAAATTTAAACATTTAGTTATTGCTACTGGCATTTTTTTTTCTTTTCATATCTCATAAAATGAAAAACACGATGTTATTAAAAATGTATTATTATTTTTAATATTAGTTATGCTTTGACAAATACTTTTGGGGAAAAAATCTTTGTTACGATACTCTTTAAATGTTTGTCATCGACGTTATTAATTTTGGGTGTATATATATAAGTGTAAATTTTCGTCATAATCGAATAATGAAACATAATCAAAAGTGTTTTCTCTTCCATTTTTAATGATATTTTTAATAGGTATATTAGTTAATTAATATAATTTGTGACTACGAACTTAACATGACGGGAATAAAATTTAATTTGAAAAACTAAAACCTAAAATTATATTCACGTTATAAATAATAAATACCCACAATAGATGCATATAGTATTAAACGTATAATATACGGTGTTATTTGGGTTCTAACGCAAAAATCCAATGGCATTAACAAGTTGAAAATAAATAAATTGAACCAATTATATTTTATAAATTATATATTTTAAAAAGATATTTTATCTTTATTTATTTGTATTTGTTTCTGATAGTTATTTCTTCTTTTTTAATGTTATATTTATTTTTATATGATGTTATGTAATTAATTCTGCCACTTTATAACTTTCTATTTCCTGTAGCTTACAGGATATGGATAATTCAATTTATTGTTTTATTAAAAAAAAAAAAAAAAAAAAAAAAAATGTAATCAATAGTTATTATATATTAAGCTTATTAGTTTAGTTATTAATGTATAACTTAATTTATAAATAATTATTAAATTTAACAAATTAATAAAGAGTATCGAGTCAGTTTATTTTTTAAGGTAAACTGATTTTTTAAATGTTACTTTTAACCTAACTAGAAGTTAAAAATAGAAAAAAGCTAATTCGTTCATTCTTGGTTAATACATCATGTTATATTATGCTGAGGAGACCTTCAAGCGCATGGGAATATTCTCTACGAATTCAAAACAACCATGGAACTTTCAGAATACAAAAAAATAACAGCACGGATTTAAAAATAAGATATAATTATTTTCGTGTACACGTATAAGTATTATATACAAGTGCTTACTACGTTTTCTCATTTCCCCGAGGACATAGTATACACGTTGTGGATGTATTATTATTAATATGTTTTCCGGGTGTCGTTTCTCACGTTTTCCACGTCGCCTTTACGGTTTTCGAGAACTCGCAATTCGTTCGACGGCCTCTGGATGATGAGAAGCAGGACGGCGAGGAACACTGTTCGTTCCCTCGCGGCTCGCACCCCAATAGTTTGCCTGAAGTGCGCGTATTATAATTTGTAAAACTATCTGGAATTCGCGGCAAGGATATTTTATTTCTACGAAAACGTGTCGGCTGAAAATAAACTACAATACGACAACGACCACAAAATGAACATTAGGCGTGGGTCGTTGGTAAGACGAGTGGCGTAAAGAAAACGTACCTATATGCGACAGAGCAAACAAAATTCGAGATGACAAACACGATACCAATACGATCGAGGTGTACAGAGTGAACACAAAATAGTTGGCGGTTCTTTTTACGCGTTAGAACGCCGGGACAGGGGTTATATGTTTTAAATTAAGGTTCAGTCATTTAGCTATAAACTACATATGGTATCTATATACGTCCAAATAACAGAAAACAATAATCATGTTCGTTTATTTATCAAAAACAATCGTTATTATTGTCATATTAAAAATTAAAAGGCCTTAAAGGGAAAAAAATTGGAAAATTAATTGGGACATCACCTTACACCTACATTAGACTGCAAACAGAACTGAACACCGATGATTGAATTTTTGTGAATACTATGCCATCCTCTAAAAATAACACTTCTTGTTCAAACGGTTTTCAAACTTTGCCAACACCCTGTAATAAAATATCCGTACACACGTATTACGTTACAGAATATACCTACTAAACCACGTGTTATCAGGTCGGAATACTGACACGAGTAATATTTTTGTTATTACAATATTATATTACATCGAACGCCATCACGTCAAACGGAAAATTACATTTTAAGCTTCTGCTTGTTCTCCATCTTTTTCTCCTTTTTTTTAATTTTTTTTTTTTTTTTTTTTTTTTTTATGCTACTAATATACTTTAAATACGCGTACCGCGAAAAGAGAATGAAAAATGTGCGAAAGCACGCCGAAGCTTTACGCCCAAGGGACTAACTCCGACCAAAGCTCTTTAACTGCGTCCTTTGAAATTTTGTTTACAAGTCGTCGACATTTTATTGACATTTTTCTCATAAAGTTTACCAGCAAAATTAACTACTAAGATTATGACGGTAGTTAGTTAATCTATATATTATATAAAATAAACAAGAAACCTAGAACCGGAAAACAAAACCGATCCACCTGTTACGGATCACTATCACTATAACAGTTGATATTGATTATACTGCGGCCTAGCGTGCGAGATTCAAAGAATTTACATTCTTACTTAACAGATAAAAGTCAAAAGGCATCGATCATTTAACGTGTAAAATTAACATTTTTATCAAAACTTATATAATTATATCATATTAGTACTGAAATACGCCAATTCTATACTAAAAATTAACTAAAAAGTATAACTTTCACTTTATGTGTTTAAAATGAGGAAAATAATGTTTATTAATCGATATATTTATAAGTTCCTTGTTATTGTAACCTTACGACCGATTTGAAATAAATCATATTAGATGTATTATTTAAAAAATATTATATGAAATGAAAATTCATTTTTTAACGTCCTTAAACTAAAGACATTTTCAATGCCATGAAAAATATTTGTACATTATTATTTATCATTAGACTTACAGGAAAGAATAATAAAAGAAATTGACCCTTTTTATTTTCAACCAAATATAGTCTATCAATATTTAATATTTACAGAAGTTGAAGTTTTAGTTAGACCCGAGCTAAGTCTATTCTTTGAATGCCTTTTTCATACTAAGGTTTAATATTTTATTACTGTGTATTAATTTCGGTTTGATTTTTGTTATACGATAACGTAAAAAAAATGTAAAATAAACTTTTACTTATACTCGTATATATATTAATTATATTTTATAAAAAACACAATTAGAAACTTTGATAAAATAAAAAATAAAAAAGTTCTCTTGAGATTGTCTACACACTTCAAAATCTCGTTGTCTTTTTAACTATATATATTTTTTTGGGCTCTTAGGATAATATTCCAGGATAATTATACTTTTTATTTAATTAAAAACCAAGGAACTCTTTAGTTTTATATATTTAGAATTTAATACTCGTAATAATCATTTAATTAGATATTTGAATAACATTGATCACTGTTAAATATTAAAAACCGAGTGCATTTCAAATTAATTTCTATTTCACACTTAACTGTAATTAATATTTACGACGGTGAATTTGAGTGTTTTCGTGAAATAACATATTATTATTATATTCAACCTAATGAAAAGTTTATCGCCTTTTTTAAACATTGCTACATGGAAGTAGACAAATAAATAGTAAATTGTAATTACTAATGTTTTTTTGTTTATTATACATAAAATATATTATAATAATTCACCACTTAAAATAATGCACAAAAAATAAATAAAAATCATTTTTAGGATGTTAATAATACCACTTTGTATTATTATTCAGTACATTTAAATTAAATAACTGAAACACAAGTAAAGAATATTGTTTTAAAATTTTCCGACAGTAAATCATTTAAATAAATAATTAAAACATCATAATAAATTTAGAGGTAAGTGGATATAATAAGGAATTAGTGTAAAATATTTATAATTCTCAGAACCCATTTACGTAAGAGCACTTTCATTTTTAGAAATTGGATATTCACTCGAAGAACTTATCATTAAAAATGGATAATACAATCTTTAAAAATGAGAAATAATAATAATAACAACAGATTTGATAAAAAAAAAAAATCAGTAGCTTATAGAAATTCCGGTTTATTATTATTATTATTTGAAAGACTTAATATATTTTGGGGCTTAAATGTGTATTGTTCTTTTTTAAACAATAAAAAAATTATTAAAATTACTGGTTTAAGAGGATTCGCCATTTTTCACTTAATAAATTTATTAAAAGAGTTCGGACTTCGTTTTCTAGCGTCTCTAACTAAGCTTTTGAAAAATAAATTGATAAAAAAAATGTATTGCCAAAAATATAATTGAAAAAAAAAATCTCTATAATTTAATTCACCAATATCGATCAAAATATGAACGCGTAAAAAATTGATTACAATATTGTCGCAATAAGAAAAAAATTAAGTTGTATACGAATATAGTGAATCATTAGACACAGTTGGATAAATTTCGAACCATTGGACAGAAATAGAGGTTAAACGTCTGATTAGCTAGCTCACCTAAAGTTTAGTTGTTCCCCGGACACTAATCAGAACATAGATAAATCTATATTAAATGAGAAAATATTGTAGAGCATTAAATATAACGAAGTCACGGGAGCGCAAAGTGATATTTTTTTTCATTTTCTTTTATTTTCTCGGTCGATAAGACCATTCGAGGACCGACATTATCGTGAACTCCCGATCAAAAAAAAACCAACTTTTTCGTGCGTATGCCTATAAATAAATATAATATTTACATATTAACAAATAAACAAAAAAAAAAAAAAAGCTTACAATATTTATTTTTATACAATAATGTTTAATCTCATATAGATTATGATAGTCGAATGCGTACGTAATGCAGTTGTGTAGTAATGTACGCGAAGGTCTTTCGATCGATATTACGGCGTAGAGGATACAGAATCATTAGTCAGTGACTTGTTAATGACATACGGTTCATTGTATACAGCATGTATATGTATGTATAGAAAAGTATGTAATAAAGTAATTGATAACTTTGGGCTTTTGTCCAGATACCGTGGTTACCTGGCACGTGGCCCGCGCTAAAAATGCGAGTGCGCCCTGTTTTCGACGAGCGCGATTACGTCGATTTATTAATCACTGGATTCGGACGAAATTCACTTCTCCGCGTTTACGGGTACTTCAATGATATTATTGAACAGGTATATTATTTATTTCGTAAGCACGCGAAAAGTTGGAAACACTCTAAATATATTTGCACGGTCCCCACATCTGCCCTGAGTGACTTGTTCGTGTGAGAGAGGAGTTAAAAATTAAAACAACGGCGAAAAGAGTGCACAAAGAACACACGAATACTTCGTAATTATTTTAAATCAATAATTTCAGGGGAATATCGTGCATGTATAATTTAAGAGGTCTAATTTAATTCAACTACGAAATGTCACAAACGAATAAAATCAAAATGAAGAATATACGGTAAAAAAATCGTGTTAACATTAAATTCGTAATTATTATTATTGTTGAAATACGCTGCGTGTAAATTAATTTATCGAAATACGAGTATAAATACATGATGTTATTAAACTGACACAGTTATTAGAATTATATATATACCATAGGTACATAATATATTGAGGTTTCGGTTATTACTAATTCGCGGTGACGATGCTTTTGTTTGCCGCAAATCAAATCACTGTTTTGTATGCAAGCGAGTATAATGTGTGTACTACGCGCGGTGTTTAATTTACCAACCGAAATGCAAAACCAAATGTACTCGTATTATGCATTCACCGTAGGAATGAGTGCAATTAAAAAAATTGTCATACAAACATTTCAATAGTCGACCGTCATAGAGGAATTTAAAGCTGTCCGCTATTAAGAGGTGAATAATTTTTTTTTATAGTAAAAAATACTATGCAACTTTGTGAACAATACATTTTAAAATTATAAGTATTACTTATTTAACCATGAATAATTATAATTTTTTCTTGGTTTTTTTGAAATAAATACTGATTCAAGATTTTTAGAGTACTATACAATAGAAATGTTTTTCAAATGCATTCAAATATCCATCCAATATAAAAAACTTCCTACTGAATGAAATTAATTTGAGATTTTCAACAAAAAATCATAATATAACAATAAAATTGATATTAAACTAAATATCAATACTAGCGCATAGATCGCAACATTAAAATGATTAAGATAATTTATGAGATCATGTGAGTCATTTTTTTTATTTGTATAGCTTTATGTTTATCGTATATAAATATTTACATATATTATGTATTCATTACATTAACCGAAAAACAGCTGTATACTCGTATATGAATAAAAATGTTATAAAAGTAGCGGTTAAGCACTTTTTTTTAGGGTATTGATGACTGTAATGAAAATTATGTTCTTTGTGATATATATTATAATCGTAATCGATTCGTAATATAGAAACCATATGTAGACTAATTATTAAATTAGTTTTTATGAATAATTATTAGTATGGAAAATGTAATTAATTAGTAATGATTAAACTCGGATAGTCATATACTATGTAATCCTTCAAATAAGTGAGCAGTGCACAGTGTGATAAAAAAATCGTTTGCATTACTCAAGTTAAAAGATATATGTAAACAACGATTTGTACGGTTTGGTTACGAACCATTAAGCAATTTATATTGTGCCACGTTCGATTTAGTTATAACATCAGCAGGGAGTCACACGAACCCATTTTTTTTTCAGTTTCCGGGTAATGGGGTAATCACGGCGTTTGTATTTTTTTTTTGTGACTAGGATACACGTTAAAACCCGGTTTAAATTATATATTTTTAGATTTTTAACTGAATAACTCGATATAATTGTATTCGATTATTGGGCATATATAGTTTTATTTCGAACAAAGTTGACGTTCAATTCATCAGAATATAAGTCGAATTAAAATAATTGTAACAGAAGCATATTAGTCGAGGAGTTGGAAGAAATGCAATTCCAATAGACAGATCACACTCGGAGAAAAAATTTGCTTTTGTACTTTTGGTACAATCATGTGATTTTCCAGGGACTACCACCATGGATAAGATGGAAGGATCAATTTTTCGAGTAATAATAATAGAATTCTTACTCGATACAGTCTAATGACTCGATATTTTTTATAAACTATTGCAACCTAGTAAAACCATGCATGGTTACACGGGTGTTTGACCGACAAACGAATGGGGCTAGGAGTATATGAACAAGTCTATATGTGAGAATGGGACGGGTTAGAACTACAGTAATCCGTTCAATATTTTTGGTTTGCGCGGACTCCAATAGACACACGTGTTATCGATCACGTTTAGCCACGCACGCAGTAAGAAAATACTCCCAGAAGGCGTTAAATTACCCGAAGTGTGTCCATTAGGGATTTCCGTAATTCAAATATGGCGGAGGCTCTGTTATTCACACCCCTGAATCGACAGTTTTTAGTTTAAGCTTTTCCTTTAAAGCCAACAAATCGAAACCAAGAATAATACGTAATGATTAGTATATCGGGTATACGAATAATACAGTAAAGAACAAGGACAATTTACTATACGTAAACATTGATTTTATATATTTTATAATAACGGCATATATATTTTGCCGTATAATTGTTATATTGTACGATTTTTATATAATAATAATACAATAAAGGTCTTACTGTGATCGTTTTCCTGTTTCAAGTACACGACGTGCGACGTGTCGACGGCCAGCGACCAGGCTGTTGCGCATGACAAGCCGCAGTGCGCTATCGCGGACTCGTCGGACAGTTTGATCCACACGCCCTCGCCGTTGGTCACCTGGTCCACGGCGGACACGACGTTACCCTGGACCAGCATTCCCACGGGTGTGGCCTTGAAGGTCGGCTGGTTTCGAATGTTGTGCCCCGAAGCGCCGCACACCACTACCCGGTACTTGACGACCGGTCCCGCCGCATTGTCCGACGGTGCGGCATGCAGTTGAGGCTGTGACGGCTGAACCGGTGGTGGAGATGGAGAAGACTTCGGCCTAAGTATAAAAGCAGGTCAATAGTCGGAAACAAAATACAGGTATTATGAAATAAAAACAAATTTTCCGTTTTCACAAGTCCCCCTTAAACGAGTGAGGTCCTAAGGCGGCGTCTACTCCGCCTACTGGGTAACCCGGCACTGAACCGACACGTTGGCTGAGTGCAACTATATACTCGGTGACGAAGCAAAAACGAGATAGAGTAGGTAGTTTGAGGTAGAGAGGTGACAAAAAATCAATCACTCAAATGTTGAGAAGTTTTTTTATTAAATATAAAAAAACTTATGTGTACAAATGGAATGTCCGACAAATTGCGCTCACGCATGGCATTATTAATGGCGTTCACTGAAGTTTCACGTCAATTTATCCAAAAATTTCCAATGTAATTCATTCAATTTTACATCTAATTGAATCTCTTAAATCAGTTAAGGTTTGTAGCTTGTTAACATAAAATGTTGACTCAAAATACAGAAAGAAGTCGCAAGGAGTGAGATGGTCATGAAACGTTACCATTTTGAGAAATCAGACGTTCGGAAAAATGTTAAGGCATGAGATCCATTCTTGTCATGAATGTTGTGCACAATTTCGTTGGAACCAGATTTAATTTTCCTCTTAGTAAAAGGTGAAAAAATCTTAGATCATAGTTACATAACGTTCAGAATAACCTAATCAATATCTGCAATTTTTTTTATTGACAAAGCCGTCTGAGTAAGAATGAGCCTCGTCCGATGTCACGAATAGTACATTTTGGTCCTGTAAAATGTCTAACGTGCTCAATGCGCACAACATTTTTACGTTGAAGATAGTCACGCGAAAATATCTTCTGGGCGAGCATTATCTTGTAAGAATAACTAAACTTCCCGTTACGTACTACAAAATAAGACATTTGGTAATGTTGTGCAATATCACCTCCCAAAGCTACGTTTATCTCAGATATGGTCGTTTATGCTCCACCATTCTGTATAATATCAATATTTTTCTAAAAAGTTGCAAAATCATAGTGTTCAACCACATTGGTATGAAGACATTTTTGTTTTTTTGTTTTTAGTCGTCGTTCGAATAGATAGTGTGTCAATGTTTAATGCATCTAAACAGAGTTGTATTTTTGTTATCTATCGAAATAAAAAATTTGAAAAATTGCGATTAAGCAATTTTCAAGAAACGCATCGATTCGATTGGTAATAAAGTTATTATTAAATATTAGTATGTACAATCAGGGTCGCAGAATTTTTCACATATAAATTATATAATGATTATGAACTTTCTTGATTAAGCAGAAGTAGATGAGGGGAATACATAATGGTTTATAGTTCAGAGTTAAAATCACGCAGGACCACCAAAATTATTTAAATTATATCTGGTTGATAAAAAATACAAACATTCTATACGGTATGAAACGTCGATAAATAACTGTATATATGTACATAGGTGTAAAGGTATATTTTAAGCATAGATTACTGTACTCCGATGTATGCATGTGACATTTGCCCGTTAATATTATTTTTCTTTAATGAAAAATGCATTATATCCTAAAATGTAATGCGTATAAATAAATATCCATGGTTTATGCAATATTTTTATGTTTGTATAATGTGTATACGTATATCATGATATATGTATAATGTATATGGGTTATTCAAAGTTCGCATCATGATCCATTAAGGGTTCGTATTATTATTATTAACTATTTGAAATTATGAATGATAAAACATTAAATTCAGATACCTAAACCAATTCATATAACTTTATACATAATCATCTATTTATTATATCGTAAAACGAATGACATTTTGGCAATGATTTTTATTCGAAAAAATGTATGTATTTATATTATTGTTAATACACGTGTAGGACCGAATCACATTCCTATTGTAGCATAACTACACACTTGGTGGAATATCTTTAAAATAACAAAAAAAAGTTTAGTAATATATTAATTATACAATTTATTAAAAATATTAAAAATATTTAGAAATAACATCGGGAGAATATAGTATTATGGTACGAGACAATAAAAACGGTTGTTTCATCATTTATAATGAAATTTTGGAGTAAAGACCCTGGCCGACTAATTCAAAAACTGCTCACATATTAGTATTAGAAAAGAAGTAAGGTTAATAAAGAATTAATTTAATTTTATGTCTCCTGTTGTAGAAAAATAACTGAAATCCTCCAAAAAACTTCGGAGAAGTAAAAAAAGTCTTCTATGTTTTACTTTAAAGGATTGGAGTACTTGAATATTGAGGCAAACAGAGAATTTAAATCAACCACAAAATACTATGCCTGAGAGACAGAGTGTCATAATATAAGAAAAAAAAGTTAGAACTTTGAGGTAAATAATGATTTGAAATCAAACCTCAAAATTCTGTGCTGAAACTTGAAAAGTTGTCTAACGAAAAAAACTCGACGGCATAAATTGCACAACATTTTCAACAAAAAAAAAAAAAAAAAATGGTACACATCAAAGTACATCCATTTTTGCAATTTTGTAAGCAAATATGAGACGATAAAATTAAGATTTTTTTAGAAGTGTCAGCAACTAGATTATTATACTTGGAAGACCCATTTACGTGTTAGAGGGGATAGGTGGTTTTTTCTTGACGTAATCTCATACCCGGAAAAAAACAACCAGTGACTGAATTTGAATCAGTGTGACGTTGTCTCATCCCACTCAATCATAACGCCCTCAAATGATTAAGATAACAATTTATTTTTTCTGTAACTGTTTAAGACATTGAGGTTTTTTTATTGAATGCAAGATCCTCTTTTTTTTACATACGAGTACATTATACATTATAATCGAGCATCAATGAAACACTGTATCATTATTACATCGCTCACTATGATTTAAATACAGATGAAATTTTAACAAAACATTTTGAATACTAAATCATGAGTATAAAAAATAAAAATTTCTCACATAATTAACTGTGAAACAGTTAAAATCTCAAAATGCGTATGGGACTGTTAATCAACTATTATTGATTACAGTAATTCAAAACATCCGAATGATTGCAAAAGTTGAATTAAAAACTTGAAATATTATTTTACGTTCTATACTTGTCGGGAAATCAAAATGAATAATCGTAATAACTTTATACGTAAAAATGTGTATAAAATCCGTATTTATAAATATAGGAAGTTTGAAATATATGTACAATTAAAAACTGAATAATGACAAAATCGCGTCTACTCCAGGGCAGTAGAGAAATTTTGTTTTGATTTCAATCAAAATATATTACGGGCATATAATGTAATTGCATTAATTCACGAGACCGGTAAAAATATGAATACTTCTAGAATAATGATGGGGTAGAAAAAAAGGCAAAAATATACATACCTACAAATATAAAATATACATATATAAATAATGCATATATAATTTATACATAATTAAAATAGTTATAATTTATAAATATCTAAAACATGTTTAAGTGAGCCGATACTTGATATAATAATAATAATAATAATAATATCGTCTTATTATTGTTGAACTGATTGCTTAGTAAAAAATACATATTTCATTCGTCTGTGATTTCAAGCGCTAATAAAATATACCGCGGGTATTGTTGTTGCGTCGTGTTCTTGTAGTTTCTTGCGGGATTATAAAGACAAGCAATTGGAAAATGGCACTTAAAATCGCAAATAACAGTGTACACCGTATAATACGTATTTTAATACGATGCACATTGTATATTTTCCGGGGGTTGACATCGGTTCTTTAGATCATTTAGCTCGCAATATCCTGCACATAAGGGTATATAACTGCCAAGCCGAGTCTCGAGTAGTGTTTGCAGTCACGGTGGCATAATCATATCAAAACAAATCTGTACGAAAAATTTTTAAAACTGTAATGCGAAATTTGTTTGAAAAAGTTCGCTCTCGACCGTGGAATTCGGTGTATACCATTCATTTTGATATTACTGCGTCAAAAATGTTTAACGAACATTTTATCTCGGAATATTTAAAGCAAATGTATTATAATTAATAAGTTTGATGAATGATTATATAACAAGACGCTTCTTGGATACTATCAAAGTAGAAAAGTTTTTTGAATCGTATAAATTATAGTCAGAAATATTGTTGTATCATGAGGAATATTTTTTTTATCGCAAATAAGCTATGTACATGTCTAGAACTAGTGCATCTATACAGACTTATGAAATAGAAGTCCCGAATGAATACAGCGACAGCATTTTGCTCAAAATCCAGATGTAATTCGAATAATCCGGATTTTCGCATGGTTTTTCATTCGCTATCGTCCAAAACAATATTATTACTAGTAATTTATTTATATCTGCACGTTTCGACCGACCGAATATATTTTAGAATTTTATGTGCGAATACAAGAATAGTTACTTATCTTTTTTTTTTTTTTCTATGAACGGTTCAAATTGAAAAATGCCCGTTGCAAGAACTACGCGACAGCATGTATTAATCGAATAGAATGATTTGAATAAAAGTGACGCGATAGTTGAGGTACAATCACGTACACCTTTTTAATGATGGGAATGAAATCAAGATCCTTCAATAATCTGCCAAATTCATGACTTCGGATTTCAGATTTGGGTTTATTATTGCAAATTTCTGTATTCTAATAATATAACTTTCATTACACCACTTTTTAGTCGTTATTTGAATTCTCGGACAAGATGATGGTGGTCTAAATAAAATATCTTAATAATTGGTAAACACTTCAAGTCTTACGTACCATTATTTTTGGAGGTAAAAATAATAATAACTAAAATTTATTTTATGGTATCCAACTTATATATTTAATATTACACAAAAACTTGTATATGAGGTTATGAATTAGGTTAGGTCAAAATATCATTTAATTTTGAGAATGTTTAATTATTTTGTATTTACTATGAATAGTTCTTGAAAAAATACTATTTCAATGTTTTCAAATCCGAAATCCGGATTCAATGCCACATTCGGATTCTAGAATCCGAAATTCGGGTTTACAGTAAAATCCGGATTTCGGGTTTCGAACATCAAAAATCCGGATTTTCAAGCTTCAGCGAATTCGGATTTTTCCCATCACTACACCATTATCGCGGACCAGCCGCAACCCGAGCGACGACTACATCGATCCGGCAAACCCTACCCCCTACCACTTGCACCGGGAGGGGACTGTTGTCGGAACAGGTGACAACGTATCTACCCGAGGATACTTCACCGCGAAAACTTTGACGTAACGCACCACCGTGGAGAGTACGCCAGGACACCGAACAATCAGAGTACATTTCTATCCATGTATTCACATACACAGCATTCCAAGCGGAAAATAAAATATTTACAAGACTACTACGAACATATCGAACGTATCCGTTATATTAAATTATTATCACACAATATTATCACTGAGGTACCTATTTATTTCTGTAGTGCATACTCACGTTTCTCTACTGAGTTTCGGGACACTAGCGGCGGGTATCGCAGCGACATATTTCTCTTCGTTGGGCGCGGCGGCGCGCGGGTGTGATTCATTTTTTCCGTTGACCGGCACCAGAAACTGTTCGCCGTTCAAATATTTGTTCACCTTCATGCACCACGCTTCGATATAGGGCACGCTCTGCTGGCAGTACCGTTTTACCGACTCCGCGTTCAACAGGACCCAATCGCCATCGTCGTTGCTTATCTGAATGTCAACATTTCAACAGAGTGAAAACAATACGGGATGGTCAGTAAATAATGAAATAATGTATATTTATATAATAAGAAAACAAGAAATAAGCAAAATACCAACTTATTTAGCATTATAAAATCGCGATGATGTTTAAACTTAAGTTAATTGTTTTTGCGGCGTTGTTTTAACTTATTTGAAGGACGAGCCGATTATTATAGGGTCGACAATTTTTGTCAGTGCCAAGAAATAGAATATTTTAACGATAAAGTAGTTTAAATTGGGATCGCAACTTCTCATTTGTAGAATTACAAAACTAATTGTATCGCCACAGTAGAAACTGGAATGAATAATTCAATATCCAACAAACTTATAATGATTGCAATTAGAGGAACCGTTTATCCAAATAGCACAAACATATAGATACTTTCAGAACAAATTGATATGATCGATTGTTCTGTACTAACAGCAGCACCCGTTTTATACAGTTTTATGATTCGTTTATTGCTTTAAAAACTGAATGAAATTATGTATTTAAAAACCAAATAATAAACAGAGAAAAATTAACAGTTTGATAAAAAGTTTTGAAATATACAGGTTAAATTGTGTTAAAAAATCCAAAAAAAATCCACTTTGGTCATGGACCAATGAGTGTAAGTACTCAAATGTAGCATCTAGTTTATAAGTAATATAACTAAATGTTTAGATTAAGAACTTCAAAAAAGAAAATTATTTTAGGCAATAATGCGATTTCGATTAAAATTGATTACAATATTTTTTTGAAACCTTATGGGTTATACCAATGTAACAATTCAAGATGTGTAAAATAGTTTTAAAACGGATTGCAAGGATGATCAGAGAAAGGATGTGAATAGAACATACATTTATATTAAGGGTAGTACATTATTTACATTATTATAAAAATAATATTCACAAATGAAAACAAAAAGTTATTTTTTCTATCGTAAGAAAATGCATTTGTTTTACGACTGACCATTTCACCAGTGAAAGCAACAGGTTTCATTGTTGTTATCACTATTGTTATCTTAAGAACACAGTCGCTACTTAAATGAATATGGTGCGAAACGTGAACGTCCGCGAACAACGATTACAATAGTGCATAATAATATGTTCTTATCAACGTCGATTGCACGTGTTGAATATTTTTACGTTTCAATCACAATTGTATTTAATTACATGTGTGCAAACAATCATGATAACGCGATTATAATTATTGCATAATTCGACCGCGTGATATTCTCGACGGGAAATCCACCGAGGAAAACTCGTTAATTTCTGCATCACAACTCAACGGAGACGAATTGATACTATTATTATTGTTGGATGCGCAGTGCACTCGTGTACTTGGCGAACATCATAATCGCGAATGCTCACCGAGTATTTCAACTTGACGATTGTGTCGTTCCTACACGACTAGTGCATACTTCCCTCGTCTTCGTCAATACTCGATGACCATTCCATTATTTATAACACAATCGAGGTTACTCGAGAATTTAAATTACAAACACCTTATTAACAACACGTATTATTAAATCAGTCAATAAATTAGTGAAATAATTTATTAAATATTAAAATTTTTAAATCGAATTGTTTTAACACGCCACTACGCTAAAACACGGGATATAAAAATGCGTATTGGCGAGTGGAGAGCAATGACGAGCCATGTGGAAACTAACACTATTTATACGCGATTATTTTTAATTCCTTTGACTCGTGGGTCGCGTTTAGCCGATGGGAAACCACCAATGATTCGGCGAGTAAAAATAATCGTCTTACTTGACGATCAAACACCTCATACACGACTCGTAAAGCATCACGATTGACGATTATTCCACGCAGGGCCGTGTTAAGGGACGGTCAAAGGGGGCAATTGCCCCCGGCGCCGTACTTTTTTAAAAGTAAGGGGGCGCCCTTATCTGTACTTAATATGCTACCTGTACCCAGTGGACCTGTAGAAAAAATTTTGCCCCAGGGCGCTGAAATGTTTGACACGGCTCTGATTCCACGAGTACACGAGTCGTATGGGACCGACTTTATGTGCATCGGTGACGAGTGTATGTTTTTAGTCTTGTGTTTTTACATATCGTCTTGTCTCGTCGCCATTTTTTGTTTGTTTTTTCGTTGTCGTACGTTTTTCTCCGTTCGATGGTCCGAGAACGTGCGGACGCGTTTTCGGCGTCAGGCAAAAAATAGATGTGTCGATGTACTTTCTTCATTGGTGCTCTGTTGTCGTGGTGGTCTATCAGGTCGGAAGGAGTGGTAATTGATTAATTTCGTAATTGCGCTCTATTATTAATTATATTTATTTTTTTCCGCTATTTTAATGGTACATGTATGAGTAAATGTTATTTGTAAATGATATTGATAATCATGTAGGTAATAATAAGGTTCCGTTAAATGTACATGGTCCGCATTAAGTATTTTTTGTTATTTTTGTTCTATCCTTTTCCCGAGAGCCTTTTATTGCATTACCAACGGTCTGTACAACTGTAAATTACAAACGCGGATATAGACGTCAAACAATTATCAAACCACTCGAGCACGACAGAGTCCTGAAAAACGTTTGTTCGACGACTCATTTTCCGGTATATTTATCTCTACAGCATCGTAGTGGACGTTATCAAGATAATTATTATTTCTACCGACGGTTGCATAATTGTTGTTAATCAAAATTTTAATATTTTCAAAATAAAACCGTTTGTTATTTCTTCTCTTAGTGGAAAAAAAATAATTTATATTAAAATTAGAGTTATATTCTGTTTGTTTTTCGTTTCCTTTCGCCGTAAAACACTTTTAGACGATGACATGAGTTTTTTCATAACAAATTGACGTTTTAGACGCCTTGGTGCTCACCGTATATTAGTTTTGTTTATTATGTTTTAAAATATGCATTATAATTAAAATTAAATAATTTATTAAAATATTTGATGGTGAAAATCGAATAAAAATCCATCGCAGATTATATACATGAGAAATACACGATAAAAAAAATGTTCGAAATGCATGTTAAAAAAAAAAGAAATTGGGGAAAAGACGATAAAACTAAAAACGTTAAAAGCTCCGCACATCTGCAGAAAACAAAAATAATAATAGTAAATACTAATACAACATTTTTGATAAAGCGTTTTGGATTATCAAGGCAACAATAATATTGACGTTTTCTGAAACACTCTTCACAATATATTTATAAAAAATAAAAACATCGGTTCAATAAATCAAAACGTCAGATGGGCATATGAGCGACTCGATTATGTTCGGAAACATCGTATTGATACTCGTATTATGTACACACTTGGTCTTATCAGTCATATGATATCATTAGCAGTTTATAAAGTGAAGGCAAATCGGGGCAAATAATACAGCACGTGTACATTAAAACAAAATAATAGACATTTTGATTGCTTTTGAAAAATGTATGCTGCCTTTATATTTCTCATGTAAGCCCGAGCTTATTTTGTTATAAAAATGTTGCGATAAAAAATGCGCGAGAGTACTCACCTCGTCTGTATATCCGATAATTTCTTTGACGGGGATGCACCCTATTTGCTCTGACTGAAGCGACGGGTGCGTTCGAATGCGCAATCCAGCGCTGCACTTGCCTACGTGTTGCAACAGTTTTGCTGCTGGCGACGACGACGTCAGTCCACGATCCGGAGGTTTGACGCCATTGAAAGGTGCTTCTTTTACGTTGATGTGTTTCGTCTACAAGGATTATTATACATTACGGTTAATTGTTGTTATTATGCATACATTATTATTATAACGAAGTTCGTTTAAAATGAACAACTAAAGAAAAGAAGAAAAAGAAATCTCTTCATTTATTCCAAAAGATTTCACGGAGTTTCTTTACCCTCGGCCACAAACCAAATCAAAGGAGGCAATTTATTACCTGTTTCGTCAACGGATATCCGTCTACTTCCACTTTGACATCGTAATATCCAGTGGCCACTGGAGTCCAGTACACAGTGTACGTACCATTGCCCTGGGCTTCCATTGAGAGCTTCTCCGAGTCACCTTTAACCGACGGCGACGCCAAACGTAGTTCTTCAAACGAATAGTTTTCATAATGCTGAAAAACAACAACGAAGTGCATGTTATAACATTTTTTGGAGGAATTGAAATATATATATATATATATAGGAACAAAAAAAATTTATTAAGATTTTAGATAAATGTTTATTTATTTTTTATATTTATAATTCAAAATTTGTTTTATGAGATAAGAATAAGTTACTTGATAAAAAGTATGAAATTATTTGTATTTTAAAATTTCTTGATAATTTACATCAAACTTTGTTGTTTCGATCAACAACGTCGTTTATAAATATTCGTCGTTTAAGTTAGTTCTGTACTTAGATTAGTATTATTTAATTTTTAAAAAACGTCTGCTCACATGAGTGACTGGAGTTAAATAGTGAGATCATTTCGCATGCACATTATTTTCAGATTTAGAATAATATTGAAAAAATATCAGTAAACATTGCTGGTCGGTTTGAAAAGCTTGACGGGTCGGAACCGGCCCGCGGACCGTACGTTGGAGATCTTTGGTTTACGCTATATACGTAAAATATTGTTGGACATATTACAGAATCTCGAGGGAAATTTAAAATTCATAATTTAATATCAACTATTCTTGCTACGGACAATAATAATAATAATCCTTCGACTTTTTATTTAAACGAATATAACTAACATCAATTCGAAGATAAGTATAAAAAGAAATCAAGGCATGAACGGATTGGAAAGTACAATAATTATGAATAAAAAATTAAAATTAAAAATTATGATACGTTTTATACTTATTTAATTAAATTAATTTAGTTGAAAGCAAACTTTGGTTCTTGTTTTTCTGCAAAAGGAAAAGTTTCTGAGGCTTAAAAGAATGTTTCTTGAAATCGTTCCTGCCGAACAACATAATGGTGTACCATATCACGAGAATGAGAAAAAATAAAACTCAGTTTTAACCCCGATAAACCGTAAAACCCAGTTATAACTCGGTAACCGGAACCTGTGAAAAGTCAACCTACTTTGAATTCCTGTTTACGACTGTTTGCGCAGTCTAAATATACACATAGGTATATATCATTGATTTCAGAATATAGTATATTATCATAATATATTCATAGCAAACCTAACCTAACGTTCATTGTGGTTGGTTGTATTTTTTGAATCAAATATTTAAATATGAATTACTATCGTAAAATAAAACGACTTTTCAGGGATTACGTAAATCGAAACTCTCCGACGGTAATAGAATTATTGGAAAATGAGTTAAATATAGAAAAGATTTTAACTTTGGACGGATTTCTTAGTAGAGAGGATACAACGAATAAAACGCGTGTAGGCTGACTCGGTCAATCTCAGTTGTAGGTTGAGTTTCACAGTGCTTGTCACGTGTAAACAAGAGGCATTAAGCTGTTCTCAGGATTCGTAAACTGATTAAATGGATTTAATTAATTAATTCCTACGAAAATGGCGAACACGATTCGCACAAGTTCGTCAAGACTACAAACAGTTCAATAAAAAGCTTTCGTCAACCGTTTCGGAGATTATGAAAACTAATTTTTCTTGTTATACGTCGATGGTTTTATTATACGTTTATGTAATGTACACATATTTTTATAAAAGTTCACATAATCGATTGATTTCCATTGGTTCATTTGTACTTCTGATAGTGATCGGGTTTCAATGAATTATTATCGGTTATGCTTAATGTGTTATTTTAAATACGTGTGTAACAAATACACCGCCCACCGTTCCAATAAAGATACTTTTTTCAAGGCATAAAACTTAAATTCAAATGTATAGTACTACACAAACGTACTTTCATGAATGTAATGGTCTGATATCTGAATTTTTCCTTGATGACCGCCTCATACGGTACATATGTTTTCGGCACTGGATGTCCGCCAAAATATTTATCGTCTACCGTGCCGACCGCACACTTATCCACATACGGATTCGATTTGGATTTACAGTTAGATTGTGTAAATAACTCCACCTGCGAACGAACAAACATTGCAATGTTAGACAATATATTATATTTTATAATGTAAGAAAACGCTGATCGGCTTTTACAAATTGATGATAGGTACATAACAATATAAAGTAATAACAGTATGCGCTTAAGCAGTTTAAGCATCGGATAATAGTTAACAGTATTAACTGAAAAATAAATAACAGTAAACTTATAAATATAAATGAAAATAAGGGCGAAGAACACAACTGACTGGCAAATCTTAGCTTTTTGTGAATGGGGTGATTGTGGCTGAAGGAAGCGAAATGAGTCCAAATATAAATATCAGTATGATTTCGAACATTGTGATTGATTTCTTATTGCGATCCAAATTTCTTTACGCGTTTAATTTTTTTTTCGTGCACAATAGTATATACATATATCTATTGACTCAGCAACCAAACAACGACGAGCAATCGTAAAGGTCTTCTAAAATATCGTTGGTAAATAATAGCGCATTTTATCATTGTTGTTCGTTATTAAATTAATTACAATAGCGATTTATTTAATTTAATAAAATAAAACAATGCACATCGAGTGTACATATAGTTATTTATAAATATAAACATATACATACATAAATAACAATGCCCACGTTCTAGAGAGGTCAATTTACTTTTGGATATGCAAAACTAATCAATTATATCCGTACATGTGAACGTATAGTAAATTAATCAATTTGTGATTATTTTCTTTTTTTCACGCTACTGACTTTAGTCCATTTCATAATTTTATGATTTAGAACTAAAAATATAAATATGTAGATATGCCTTGGTTATTCTATAAAATCATATCCAAAAATATACATAAAAGTTTGATTTGATAACTACGATAAAGAATTTTAATTTTAAGAGTGTTTGTATTTTATTTTATTTCACCTCGAGTTATACCAATTATCATACACATGCACGTTAATAGCCAATTAGGACGTGTATACTGTATTATAAATATTAATATTTATTTTAATTGAAAGTATGATTTTCACCATTCAATTGAAATCAAATACATTCGATTCGAAAATAATATCCAGTATAACTCGGAGCGTAATTAAACACAATTTTTGAATAAATTTAAAACGTATTCAAGTGCGCTATTATTCAATTTAAATTAAACTTGCAAAAAAATACTCCATCGTATTCATTATCTTTAATGATTTTTCTAATGAACTGCTTAATACTAATTTTAAATGTTATCGTATCTACAACGATGGATGTTCATAAAAATAAAAAAAAAAAACAATTAATACAATTTTTAAGACAATAGTAAAAATTATTATTCACTTAAATCACGATAGCAAAAAAAAAAAAAAAATAATAATCATAATAATAATAAATAAAATAGAAATTTATAACATACACTTTAAGATATTACTACGTATTTCTTATTAGAGAAGATTCAATATAAGTTGTATTTAAATCAACTGATGGTCAAATCAATGTGTGTCATATATTTATTATTTACATCTGACATCGAATAGCTTACAATGTGTACAAGAAAATATACATAAGTCACCAATAATATATATATATATTATTTAAGCACTACACAAAATCTATTTAATATAATGCATAAAATTACTAGACAAAGTACATTATAATATATAATGATTGTATTTAGGTAATATATGTAACCACTCAAATTACAAATTTCAAAAAAAAATAATAATTTGTAATCTATGTAAAATGTAACATTAATGGTAATGGTGTAGTGTATATTATTGTATTAATACTAAGTTATTAGGTATCTAAACCATCTTTGAAAATATCTGGTAATAGAATAACTAAGGTAGTAATTTAGGCGTTCTGCAAAATATCTTGGAAATAAATATATTGTTCAGAAAATGTATACTAAAATTAATATAATATACAATTTAACAAATATCAACCGGTATTAATTTTATAAAATGCCTAAATTATATGGCCGGTAACCAGTGACGGTGCTAGAGTTTGCGAGGCTCTGGGCAAAATAAATGTTGGGTCTTATAATTTATATTAATAAAATATTTTAATTTCAGTTAAATCAGAACTGCGAGGCCTTAATTATAATTTAAGGCGCGAGGCCCCGGGAAACTGCCCCTATTGCCCACCCCCTCGCGCCGTCCCTGCCGATAAAAACATTTATAGATTATACATTCAATTCGTAGATCATGTTTATTTGAGAAAAAAAAATCGATTGCATAAAAAGTTTATTTCCATTACTTTAATTTGAATTTTGATATTTTATTATAAAGATTTATTTTTTCCTGGCAGTTTTATGGTATAATCGTTTGATGAACATGAACATTTCCCATTCACGAAAACATAGCGTTCCGCAAATTCGGTTTTGACTTGCAAATTTTGCAATTATTTTCTCGCGAACGACTCAGAAAATATTAATGAAGAAACTCTAAAACTTAATAAACCATACATATACGAACACGCATGAAAAATGTTCTACTTTCGCTGGATTATAATCAGTGTTTAAAATGGTAAAAATGTTGAGAAGGGTACTATAATCATCAACAATTGAGGAGCGTTCGCTTACCTAAATCTATGACCTACCATACATTTTTAGGTAGCCCATGAGATCAGACTTTTCTTATTTTTCTTTTAAACACATTTGTTTATAAAATGTTTTATAAGATGTAATACTAAAAATAATTTTTTTCTTACAAACAAAAAAAAAACATTCTACATCATATTATGTCTGGAAAATAAAAATAAATTGCAATATATGGTCTAAAAAGTTTACAAAAAAGGAATTTAAAATTGTTTAAGTTGTTTTAATTTGTCAGTCACTGAGTTTTTAGGTAAAAACGTATTTTACATGTTTAAGCATATTTTGGGGATTAGTGAATATTATAGGTATTTTTCATATTTTAAAATACGTTGCCTGAAAAAATATCATGATTGTTTAATTTATAAATTTTGTTATTTGTCACAGAAAAAAAAAAATAAATACGATATGAAAAAAGAACTAAAACAAAACAATTATAATAATTTCGTTGTATTATTTAACAACACGATTAGTTTACTTGTTTTTATGTTGTGATTTTTTTTTCTATTTGAATCTGAAGTGTAAACACATTTCGTACGACTGAGAGTCGGTGCACTTACCTTTAACCCGTTGGACTGAACCAGGTTACCGTACTGGTCGCGAGTGCGGACGGTGAATTTGGCCGGCCACCCGCATCGCACCTCGGTCGTGGACAGCGACAGCTCGCATGAATCCGGTTCAACGACGGACTCGGGCTGAAGCCATCTGGCCAGCCTGCAACCGGCCGAGTGCGGTGCGCATCCCACGAATTCTCTGAGAAAACGGTTTTCGTTTCCGTCCACGCTGTAAACAAAAAAAAAAAAAAAGCCCACGTGTTAACAATAAAAACGAAAACCGTAAACACATTTATTTATGATTTGCACCGTGTAATATCATAAATTTATTTATAATATAATCATGTACGCTAGCGACAATTGATCGAAAATTGTACGGTACCACTACTAACATAGTTTGCAGATGGACTTCATACGTACACGTACGCAATACGTTTTTGGACCGAAATAGTGTAACAATATTAATTAATATAATAATAACGTTTAAGGTTTTTCACGATTTCGCGATCCGATCACGCAGTGGAACGTATGAGTTTTTCATCACTCGAGTAGAAAATAATAATAATAATAACAAAATCATCGTGCGTTGAAAGTTTATAACTCAACGCTAGTGCACACATTTTATTTTTTGTTATAGCACACTTTCATTTTTTACCGTCACGTCAACAATAATATTAGTATCAAACATAATTGTTACCAAAAAATGAATATGTTTGAAAAAAAAAAAAAATTCGACTTATTACCATGTTCAGACAAGGATCAAAGGCTCCCCACTCCCTCTGAATTATTTTTCGTACAAGGCAAAATTGAAAAACTATTCAATTATTTTTTATTGATCGTTCAGGAAACCAAAACTTTTCGTCTACCAATAGAATCACATGAACTATTTACATCGTACAGAATCGGTTATAATTTCTTATACACACTAATAGTTTTGTTGTATCAACCGATAATATTATACAGTCTACTGTAATAAAAATTATTTCAACGTTATCTTTGCGTTACTGCAGGACATCGTTGACCGTCACACGTCACATGTTGTCTCTGTCATTTCCGTAAAAAAAAAAAAAAAGTTTTTTGTTAGTAAATCCTGAGTTTAAAAATATAAGTTTAATTCTGATATTAAATAATTTATAACAAAATTACTATCCAATATAAAACATATAAATACATATAAATACGTTCTACATAATAATCGCGACCGTTAAGTTTCAAATGTTGAGCTTTTTTTTCCTTCGTGTATTTTTTTTTTTTGTATTCATTTAACGCAAGATGAGAAGATAATCATAGAACTAAAAACTAAACACCGATGACGAAGACAATTTTTATAAACCGTTATATAATTACGTACTTACAATGTACACGTTAAAATATAAACACTGGTTATTTACTGGGGAAAAAGTATATTGTTTACGTCAAATTGATATTCACAGTTTCAATAAATTTCTATGAAACTCCGATTTTAAATTTCTGAACTATTTTTATTAGTTATTGGACACTCAAATCCCAGTCGATTCCATATAAACTTATCAACCAATGTTTAGAATATTTGCAAATCGTAAGCAAATAGTTTTTGCTGGTTCACCAGTTATGTATCGGTATAATAATGTAACTATTACATGGGTCAGCGGACGATTATGGAAGAAAAATCAGTCGGACACTGTTCCGTTGGTCGAGAGGAGACCATAAGCTGCGGGAGGATAGCCTTCTTTACGGATACTCAGTTGTACTACGTGATCGCTTATGTGTGCCGTATACTTTATTATCGTTTTTTAATCACATTAAGATGATGTCCTCCAAGGATCGGCCAAAATTGAACTCTGACTGTGTACAGAAGAATCCATCGGATGGTAGAGAAAACGATTTCACGATGTACGTTTATAGTGTTTAGAGGACGATGTCTGATGGCGTTTCCGAAAGTGAATTTAATTTGACGACACATCGTTAAAATCATACGTAAAAATAAATGACTGACGAAAGTATCTCGCGCCGACTGCGGATACTACAAACACGCGTCTCAAATACGTGACAATTTATATCATGCCTATATACAATGTATATTGATATAAAATGTATATTTATATATAAACGGACAAATTGACATCCAACGCGATTGTCGCGGAAACGGCATTATATATACATAAATTTAAATACGAATAATATTGGTTTGGAGTTTCTCCCGTAGACTTCTACTTATGTATAAATATATATATGAAAAGCGCAGAGAAAAAATTGCACCGACATTTGGTATATTATAAATGTTTTGTGTGCGTATATACAACGGCGGGAAAAAAAGTTTTTGGCCAAACACTCACTTATACATAAATGTATGATAAAACGTCAATAATGTGAGATCCGTCAAAAAACTGTACGCAATACATATATTATAACGTCAAAAACTTAGTGTGTGTGTACATTATTGTCACGCGAATTTTCCAGCTGCCAATAACACATAATTTTTTTTTCTTTGACAAGATTCGCGATTACATTTATAAGTTATAACGAAGAAGCACTCACCACCATATCATTATTATAAAACGTTTTTGAAGTATACCAAGATTGACGTGAAAAGCGTTTAAAGTAAAACCATCCGATTCACGTACTACCAGATTTTTTACTGGAAATTTTACATTTATTTAAACAAATCATCATAGGTAGACTTTAGAAAAATGAGTTATTTAAAAAAAATAAATAAATTATATTATAATTTATAAGTATAAGAAGTATCGTAGCTAGTAAATCCTTATAGAATATACTATAACTTGAATATAATAGTACTGCAGATTGCAGTTGCACGAATAAAAACTACCAAACAATTTACGAGGAAAAAAATATATTCATCATCTCGGGAGAAGCATTTTCACCCAACTTTTATTTTAATTATCATATCGGTTAAGAATGTGGTACTTCGATTTAAATAATTGACGTGCTTTGTCCATTCGTTGTATTTGTCCTTTGTATAAGAGATTTTTTCTTTTTGATATTATTAGTTCAGGATAAAAACATAATTATATAGGGCTGAAGATTTGGGAAATTTATTTTCTTCAACTTTTATGCATACATTCTATCCTAATCAGTAGTCGAAATGGCTCAAGATAAGTGGAAGGATACCTTACAATTCAGATTTCCTGGTATCATCATAACATTCTTCATATATTGTGTTACTATAATTTTTTTTTTTTTTTTTTTTAGTTCACATAAGGTATCTTATCTTAGTCCGTGGCTCTAAATACGGGTATAATACGGGTTGCGAAACGGCTTATACTAAACAACACGATAAGCCGGGCGCCCGGGCCTGAATATAAAAAACAATTATTTTCATCGAAAAAAAATAATTTCTTATATAAATATAAAAATGATGATAAGTATATCATTTTAAAATACAAGTCTTATGAGGAATGTGTTATTCAAGACAAAACAAGTAAAGGGATGAAAACTGTAAATACAAAAAAGTAGAGGGATACCATCCCTCCGTATCCCCCCCCACTTCGAACACTGATCCTAATAGCAATTTAGTATGGTTTTATTCATTTCCGTTTACATAATTTCTAGTTTTCCATTTTCAGCTTAAAACTAACGTTGATATTAATTATTTTTCTTTGGTGCATATCTATCGATTTTATTATACTCTTTTAAGTTAATATGTTTGAGCCATGTATTTAGTTTCTAGTTCTATGTTTTTATCTGTATTATCTGTTTTGTATTATAATTTGCGTGCGATGCATAGCGGGTTGCATTCCACGGCTGCGGTTATGGTTGACGTGGAGTTATAAACCAGTTGTGTAATCGCGCTGTTGTCATCATGCGTAAATGTTCGTTATTCCGTGTTTTCAATCTCTACCGGTAATCCTGTACCGTGAGTCTTAGAAGTCATGCTCTCGGTGCCACATGTTTATTTTAAGTTCCTTTGTTTTCAGTTTTAGTGTGGTGGCACTGAGAAATTTTTATCGTAATAATGGTGTCCGGCGGCCGTAGCTTTCGTGGCAAATGTCGTCGGCTTTCTCTGTTTGTGTTCGCCGATTTGTACACATCAATATTAGTCTTCTTGAATTTCGTTCTCGTTCCCGTTTACAGCCATCTAGTCGAAAACCACGGTTTTCGTTTGTGTTGTATTTTGACTGTCATCTGGTAAGTGATGTTGAGTAACTTAAAGTTACTCTTGTACTTTAGTTTACATTGTTCCAGACTGGTCACTTCCCGGCGGCATTTGTGAATGGCGATGGTTTTTCATCGTCGTTTTGTATCGTGCTGCGACGGGATTTGTGAGTTCTTCGTCAACAACTGTCAGCATACGATTGTGTGCACGGGGCCGACTTGTGCTTTTTATTGTATTATTTTTATTAATTGCAGGCCCCGGCACACCTCGTGTGTCACAGTTGTACGTAAGTATTGGTCGACCGCATTATTGTTAGTTGTATTAACGTTTAATTAAGGTCGACTGACCTAAGTTAGAGCATTGATTTATTATTTATATCATATTTAGCGTGAGCCGTGTAGGCCACCCATTTTATTGCTAAATATTGTAATATAACTAGTTCTGCCGCTGTATAGCCAACGTTGATTATTTATTTATTGTGCTATTTAAGCTACTTATTAATTTTATATTGACTTATGTATTTATTATCATACAGTTCATTTATAAATAATTTTTTATTTGAATTTTTATATTTATTATTTTGGTGAAATAGAACGTTTCTTATTATTAGAGACACTCCGTACACCGACATTTTATTTTCTACTTCAATAGAAGAATGAAGTATTTTTTGCAATTTTTAAATCATCAGCATCCTAGCTGCAACTAATAACAATAAGGCAAACATATAGCTTTATAATAGTGTATAATAGTGCTACTGATTCAAGCGATTCAAGTTCACATTATAAATAATGGCTGATTATGTTTTTACTGCTAATTAAATGTTTATAGTTTATCAGTTCAACGAAACGCAATAAATATTTTAAAGAATACTACGTTCATATACAATACACGCATGCTCGTACAATATGTTGTGATGAACAGCTAAATTGTACTCGTTTCGAAACTGATTACAGAATGCTGTGGATTTGAAAGTAACTCATCTTAATACGTACTAAAATCATGAGATTTATATAACTTTAAACACAACATCTAGGGTTTAAAAAAGTATGAAACCGTACTTTTAAAACGCAGTAAATAACTACTTTTTATTAAAGTATATTTAATTTGAATAAGTCGTATGAATGAAAGTCGAG